CAGAGGCTAAAGTGGCTGGGTGGGGTGTGTGGGGTGGGGGTGGGGCACTATTGCTTACCGAAGGGCAGAAGGAAGGGAATGAAGTGGAAAACCCGAGTTTCTGCTTTGGAAGAGATGCTGGTGCTTTGATCAGATACTTTCTCTTAACTCTCTGGAATTTAGTTTCATTGTCAAAGCTTTCACCTGGTGCCAATGCAGGTGAAATAGAAAGCAAGGTGCTGAAACACAGTCAAGGCATTACCATTACAAGGACAGCATTGCTTCAGGATTCTGTGCCTTTGGGCAAATCTCCAGGGTGGGAGAAGAGGAGGTACCTCCCAGAATAGTGTGGCCTGGTTGGTGAGTGAGGGAAGGAAGGCAGGGTCTAAAACGTTGTGTCTGGGGCTTAGGAGAGAAGATGACTGAAGAAGAGGTGGAGACAGTTCTGGCAGGACATGAGGACAGCAATGGCTGCATCAACTATGAAGGTGAGGGGGCACAGGAGCAGAAAGGACCAGGGTGGAGGGGTGGCAGGAAGACCCTGGAATGTAGGTGTGGGCACCTTGCAACCTGGATTATCTGAAGTCAGAGGTTTATCTAAGGGCCTGCTTCTGAAGCCCCTCTTGCGTCCTCTCTCTGCAGCCTTCTTGAAGCACATCCTAAGCGTCTGAGCTCTACAGGTATGGCCCTCCTACTCCGCCTCGAGAGACAAGTCTCCTTCCAGTCTCTACGCCAGGGTGGAAAGGCAGGGAAGAGTGTTTCCATGTTCTGCAGCGTGTGAGCGCCGGGGTTTGGCAACTTTTCATCTTTTTCCACAGATGCGGTGGGGGTCAAACATTGGGCCCCCTGCAGGCGGAAGCGTGTTCCTGCTACTAGGATGCCACCTATTGTTTCAAAATAAAGAGATGCTTCCTCCCTTGGCCTACGTCTGTTACTTTCTTCATAGGTGGGGGTGGGATGGAGGGAAGAGAGGGTTCTCCTCTCCCGGATCCGTTTTCCTCTGATCTTCCCGCTACTTCGAGGAGCAAATTCCTTGCGCCCTTCCCCACTCCACCCACTTTGTGAGGTTTCTGTGCCGCAGGTAAGGATAGTCCGGAGAAATGAGCAGCGGCTGGCCCCGCCCATCTGATTACTAATATAGCAATTTATCTGCATAAGCCCAGGCTAAGAGTCCTATTGGCTGGATCGGCCGAGGGTGACGTCATTCGGGCGTACTAAGACTAGGGTTGGGCTGCGAGACGGAGCCATTACTGCAGGAAAAGGTCCCGCAGAGCTTGCCAGTCAAGATGGTGGGGCCCGGGGCTTTGGGAGAGTGAGCGGGATTTGGGGCGAAAAGCGGGAGCCGGGGGTAGGGGGCGAGGAGAAGGCGGAGGAAGGGAGCAAAGGGAACCCGAGGGCCTGGAAGGTTGAAGGTGGGGTTGGAAAAGCTGGGGTCCTGTCTTCCTGGGAAGCGAGTATCCTGTATGGAGGAGGAGTTTGTGGGACCGGGATAGAAGCTGGGGGGAATGGAGTTCAGATGTTGACCGTTCCCCTCTTTTCTGAGCAGTGTGACTTCACCGAGGACCAGACCGCAGGTTGGTAACTGACCCCTACTGAAGTCACGCTTAGGGAGACGAGACACCCCCTTTAGCACCTACCCCCTAACCCCAACCTGTCATCTCTTCATCTCTTCAGCACCACCAGGGGAGTACCTCCTGGATTCCCTCCCTCCTTCTGGAGCCTCCATTTTCTTTTCTCAATCTTTCTTCCTCCCTCCCCTTCCACTCTAGATCTGAGCAAGCACTGGGTGAGTTTTAGGTGGTGTGGGTATGTGAAACAACTCGGTCACCTAATGCCTGCTGTGTGTAGGGTTTGGGAGGGTGTCTGAAGCCGCCTGTATGTCTCTGTCTCTTAATCAGCTTCTTTTGCCTCTTATCTCCTCCGTGACAATCCCTCCCCACCCCGCCCCAGCTTGGATTTGTGAATACTGTAAAAAGTAATAACTTGATATTTTGTAAAAACCAGGACAGGGGAATTTGCTGAGGATACTTTTACTGAATGGGAGAGGTGGGAAGTGGCAGGCTGGGATGACCCCAGTCCCAGGCTGCTGCTCCCACTTCCTTATAAGGGCAGGACCCAGACAGGGCGGTGGCAAATTCCTGCCCTGAGCAGTGTAGTGAGGAGGCTGGGCAGGCTTGCTGCCTGCGGAAGGGGTGTGTAAATGGTTACTACTGTGCCTAGAGGGGAGGAAGGCCGTGACTTTTTGTGGGATACCTGAGGTGGGAGGGACTGGCAGTGGGTCCCTCTCAGTAGACTTGTGTGTAGAGTGGAATAAATATCTGGTTTCCTCAGCATGATTAAAGTTGAATGGGCAACAGACACCATGAGGGTTTGGTTAACCCCCATGTGCCCATACTGATGTCTATCTCAATCCTCAGAGTTCAAGGAGGCCTTCCAGCTGTTTGACCGAACAGGGGATGGCAAGATCCTGTACAGCCAGTGTGGGGACGTGATGAGGGCCCTGGGCCAGAACCCCACCAATGCCGAGGTGCTCAAAGTCCTGGGGAACCCCAAGAGTGATGGTGAGGATCCTTGGGAACAACTCCTGTGGGTACTGGGCCCACAGGTCTTCAGCTAAGAGCTTCCTTATCTTCATAGGTCCCAAACTCAGGCAGGTCTTAACTCAACTAGCAAATCCCACACTTTTGCTCTGAGCGGGAGCAGTCTGTCTGGTTGTGATCCCTGTAATCCCCAGGCCTGAGAATTTGTGTGACTTGACTTCTGCTCCCTTCATGGCAGAGATGAATGTGAAGGTGCTGGACTTTGAGCACTTCCTGCCCATGCTGCAGACGGTGGCCAAGAACAAGGACCAGGGCACCTATGAGGACTATGTTGAAGGCCTTAGGGTGTTTGACAAGGAAGGGAACGGCACTGTTATGGGTGCTGAGATCCGGCATGTTCTCGTCACACTGGGTGAGGCTCTATCTACCCTTGCTCCTTGAGCTGAGGTTCTGCCTGATACTTCACCTGTCACACAGTGCCCAAAATGCCCTTCCCCTCCGCAGGTGAGAAGATGACAGAGGAAGAAGTAGAGATGCTGGTGGCAGGGCACGAGGATAGCAATGGTTGTATCAACTATGAAGGTGAGGGACAAATTGGGGCTCTTGCTGAGGAAGCAGCCATGTGAGGCAGGTCAAGTACAGTCTGAGGCTTTCCCTGTCACGGGACTTGGGCTCCAAAAAGTGCCAGGAGGCAAGGGGCAGGGCCCGACCCTGCCCAGCCCAGGAGTGGGAGGCCAGGGTTGTGTAACAGGAAAGGCGCAGTGTGGTGTAAAGGGTGGGGAAGGAATGGGAAGTAAAATAAATGGAATGTCTATGTCCTGATCACCTGACCCCTTTACCCCATGTCTGTGTCTTGTCTTCACCATTAATGTCTCTTCCTTCCTGCAGCATTTGTGAGGCATATCCTGTCGGGGTGACGGGCCCATGGGGCGGGTACGGCTCATCCCAGCCTCCCCTTCTCTAGTTGACCTTCCCAGTGTTTTTCGTCCCAAACTTTGCTCTCTGGTTCCTGCCCTGCCCTGCCCTACTACCATCTGACTTCCTGGCATGTTTCTGCATGGAGCTGACTGGGGAGGGAAGGGAAGGGGTTCCTCAAAAAGGAAGACAACCTGGGGGTATGGTACCTCCTCACCTAGAATGGGCTCTAGAGTTTTCCTTTATAGGGCCCTGGGTGCTGGTGTCTGGGAATTCTCACCAGCCTGTCCCCATCTCGCTTTAGGGTGACCCTTTGGCCCTGGAGCGTCGGCGGTTGGCATAGGGGGGTGGGTTGCCTGCCCCATTGTGCTGCTGTAGCTGAACAGTCTCTTCTTCCTTCTGCTGGGCAGCTTGGAGGTACCCTAACCCGTAACTCTGTCTTCCCCTGCCAGTGGCTGACAGTAGCTGTAGGTGTAGTTAAGAACTTTTCTGCCTTTGCTGTGTTCTTGCTGCTCGGGGTGGGGTGGGAACTAACAGCTGGTGGGAGGGGAGCTGGGGGTCCAGAGAACTGGTCAGACTCAAGGTGACTCCTCTGCAAACTGACCCCAAGGTTGGGTGCTGCAGGCACGTCCCTTCTTATGCCACCTTTGTGGTCGTATGGTCTCCTGGCCCCTGGTGCACCCCTCCCCTTGGCCCTGGTTCCCTGGTTCACACCTTTCTCTGTTCCACAGAGCTCGTCCGTATGGTGCTGAATGGCTGAAGAAGTTCCCAGTGTGCCCAGAGCCTTGTGCCTTCCCCTGTGTGACACTGTGTTTGTAGCCCCAAAGTCTCCTTAGGTTCTCTTGTCACAGCACTTTCCCCAGCTTGTATCTCTTGGACGATGTCTGCCATCAGCATTCACCAAATAAACTCACTCTCTGTGCCCTAAATGGGGTTCTGCTTTCTTTCCTGAGCCGTGTGAAGGGGAGACAGTTTGGGGTCAGTGGACCAGGGAGTTAGGGAAAGCTGACCCCATTCATTGATGCTACAAAGGCCACCCCCTGGGGGATAAGGAAAGTCATGAACCTCTGCAGGACCAAGGCTGGCCATCCTGACCTCAGCACATCAGGCCGAGTCCTCGCCTAGCCCTCCAGGTCCTTATTCCCGGTCCTCACCCTCCGCAGCACTGCAGGCCTTTCCTGTGGCCTGAGCTAAGGCCAGCCCACATTAGCACTGCCTAAGCCTGTCACCCACGGCTCAGGGCTGGGGACCAACAATAACAGAAGTAGGCGAGGTGCTTGCCTTTTCCCCACCTAATAAGGGAAGACATGAAGCCACTACTTCTGAACGGATAAATATACAAAATCTCCAGGTTGTGAGGATGTCCTTCCAAGCCTTCAGCAGCTATTTTCAGGGCAGGTAAGGGCCTCTGCCCGGCCCCTGCACCATGCAGAGTCTCGAAGGCTGTGCTGCCGGCCTCTGGACGGAGCTCTGGTCCCAGGGGAGAACTCCAGGCATGATGTCCCCCCAGCCCGACCCCCCTACCTGACAGCCACAGGTCAGAGAACACAGAAGGCATCCACAAGATAAAACTGAAAGCAAATTAATTTATAAAAAAGAAAAAGAAAGAAAGAAGAGAAAATTTACAGAAAACTTTTGAACAGAAGGAAGGTGCCAAGACGCAGAAGAAAAGAAACACGGGCACATGAGGAGCAGAGGCCTGGCAGGGGCCAGGGACTGACGGAGCCTGGAATCACATCTGCCTTCACATCAAGGATGAGCGGGGAGGGCTGGCCTGGGAGGCACCGGAATCTGGGGAGCTGAGCTGAGCTGCAAGTGGGGGTCAGTACTACCCTAGGTCGGGCACTCCCACCCCCATGGTCTCCAAATCCCAGGAACCCCTAGCTACCAGTCAAGGTTCTGGTGGGCTTGGTGGAGAAGGGAAGAGGTTATGGGGATGATCCACTGAGTCATAAGAAGGAGGTGCTTAAGTGCTTTTTTAAAAGTTCAGGCTTTTACACCGTTCCATTCTCTTCTAGCTGCCCTCTCTGTTTCTCCCGGGAGCCCAATAGAGCCCAGGGAGGAAGAAGAGCCCCAAGTGCCCTGTCATCCTCTATTACTGACCAAAGGAATCCCCCAAAATATGTTTCCCCACCAAATACACATACACTGACATCAACTACATCGGCGACTTAAAAACACAAAACAGACACTGAGAGGGAGAGGGGTTGTTGGCTGAGCTGGGGCGGCCTAAAAACACCAACACTGAGGAAGCAGCAGATTAGCAGGAGGAATAAACCGGGCGTGGGGTGGCCGAAGGGGTTCTGAGCTGACTCGGTCACTAATGAGGGCTGCAGGGGCCAGGCTCTGCACCCTACCCTAACCCCAGAGCCCTCTCCAGAATGTCACCTCCCTCCTCCGAAAAGATGTAAAAGCTGGGGTGTTTTTTTTTTGTTTTTTTTTTTGGTGGGTGGAGGGAGTTCCAATGTACTTTAAAAAAAAAAAACCTATTTCCTTGAAAAGGGCTGAATTTTTTTTTTCTATCCATAAAAAATGCAGTAGTTTTGAGGGGGTATACCCTTAGAAGTGGTTAATTAGAACCTTGTATAAACACCTTCCTCCAGCCCTTGCTTTGAGGGCAGCACCCTCAATCCTATCCTCTCTCCCAGACATTAGAAAGATCTTTTGAACAGAAGTCCTTGAATAATCCGATATAAAAATGCACGCCCCTGACAGGCATGGTTGGGGCTTTGGAGGGGCAGGAATAGCTTTCCTTACGTAGTGATGAACTCTCCAGGCGGGGGAAGGGTCCCAGTGGTGGGGGGAGGGCTGTTCCTGGAACCTTGATCTCCATGGGGGATGAGGGAGAGAGATGTCTGGCTGGCTCCTCACTGTGGAGGTGGCACAGGGGTGACAGTGCCTGGGCTCGGGGCCGTGGGGTCTGGAGGCAGGGGGGTGCCTGGGTCTGCGGAGAAAGGGAAAGTGAATCAGCTCGAGTGAGGAGAGAGGGCTCCAGACCCAGGCCGCCACAGACAAACGGAACCGGACTGGCATGCAATGGCTGGGCAGATGAATGAGGTTCCCACAACGTACAACCTCCTTTTCCCAACACCCTCTCCCACCTCACACTGGGAAAACTGACAGACCCCACATTATCCTCCTGCCCGCAAGGAAACTCTCTAAATGGGGCACTTGAGCGTGACGGGGACAAGCAAAGGGAATGCCAGTCATCATGCAATTGGGTAGCTGTTTTTCAAGTTTACAACTGAGATGCTCTGTGCCACAGGACTCCTCCGTGACCCACAGTGAAAGGCCCCAACGTCATCCCAGAGGTGGCAGCTGCCAGGCTGGGGAATGGTGGAGGACAGCCAGAGGCCCACCCTCCTGTATTCTAATCTTATCCCAGCGCTCAAAAAGTGCCTGAGCCCTTCCCCACCTGCCCTCCATCCCTCCACATGGCCCCCTCTCCCTCACCCATCTCCCCTCCAGGACCCTTCTCACCTGGCAGTGGGCTGGCACTGGGCAGGAGGTTGCCCTGAACAGCTGCCACAATGGCAGGGCTCTGGGCTGCGGCGGATCCGAGCCCCGGCCCGAGAGGCAAGGAAGATGGCATGGTGGTGGTCGCCGGCAGGTTAGGATGTAGAGGGTTCGCCATGGACACAGGCAAGTTAGGTGGGGGGAGAGTGCCCGGGGCAAATGGGAGATGGTGGTGATGCCCATGCAGGTTAGGAGGAGGGGGAAGGTTAATACTGATGGAGTCGGCTAGACTACCAAATGGGATGATGGATGGAGCAGGAGGAGGAGGAGGCGGCATGCCAAAAGGCAAACCCAAAGGAGCATTACCCGCCACGCCTGGGTGCCCGCTGCCTGGCACTGCCCCTGGCATCAATGAGGGAGGAGTTTGTTGGTTGGGGAACGGTGAGGGGCCTGGGAAAAAAGAGGAGAGGTCAAGAAGGTTAGAGGTAGAAAATCTCACTTATCAGCTCAAGAAGGTTAGAGGTAGAAAATCTCACTTATCGGCTCACTTTTTATTTATTTTCTGTGCAAATTCTTTGGTATTTATTTCCTACCTATACCCAAACCAGGCTCCTCTGCACCGGAATCTCAGTAATCAACTCTAAGGCCACTTCCTTTCACTGATCCTCTCAGAAGTTAATGATGCTACTACTGCTTCGCATTTAACAGGAACACCCTTCCAACCTGCTCTAAAATTGTTGCCTAAATTACATTATTCACTCACCCATCTGAGGAATCAGTCAATCCTAATATCTAAAATAAAGCTATAAAGCTATTAAGCCCCTAGATCTAAAAGTCACTTCCCAGGAAACACTGGGAAAGAGGAATTCTGGCGGGGAACCTATGTGCAGAACTAACTGGTTCCTTCCACGACACTGCAAGAGCCACGGGAGAACCTGTGCTTTGTGACGTTTAGGAAGCATCCACCAACTACAGTGGACCTCGTCTGGCTCCAGACGCAGGTCGTGACAGTGGCACTTGGACCGTGCGAGCACAGACTGGACACGTTGTTAAGGAACTGGCCATGTCAACTCACTCTTACAGGGAGGGTGATCTAGCCACTCCTGGGCACCGCCTTCCCTTCTCCCTGACCCTAGAACTAGTGGTAAATCCTTGGAGAAAAATTGCAAAGATCAGTTTGGGGCGAGATCCATGCTGGCTTAGGGATATAAAAGAGCTGGGTCCATCAGTAGAAACAGGCCAATTCTATCTCCAGCCCTATCATGGATCCCCTTTGAGGGGGACCTGGAACATTCACCTGGATCTCTCTAGTCAGCAAGAGTTCAAGAATCCACCCCTTACCATGGGGTCCAGGGGGTGGTACCCCTGGTGGGACTGCCCCTGGCTGCGGGGCTCCGGCTGGTTGCTGCTGCTGTGGCCCAATCTGTTCAGGGGGGCCCAAGCTTCCAGGAGGGGCCCCACTGCCAGGAGGGGCAGGGGCCACAGAGGCCGGAGCCATAGCCAAGCCATGGACTGTGGGTGGCCCAGCAGCGCCTGTAGGTGGGATAGGCTGGGACCCTGGGGGCAGGGCTGGTGGTGGCTGCTGCTGCTGTTGGTGCATTTGTTGGAAGTGCTGCTGCCGAGCCCTCATCTCCGCATACTTCAGCTGCTCCATGTGGAAGGCTTGCCTGTCGGCCAGGAGCTGCTGCCTCTGATACTCCAGCTGCCAGTGCCAAGTGGGACAGTTACCAGTGTTCACCAGCTCCAAAGGCAAACACCTTGCCCCCTGCTTTGTTTTCAGACAAACCCAACCTCTCATTCTGATGGTTCCCCACATCAAGCCTAAATTACGTGCTTGGGCGTCCTCCTCCCCCCTTCCCATCTTCTGGCGACCCATATGGCCTCTCATTTCAATGGAATTAATCTGGGGTGGCCCGTGCTCCTTTCAGCTCCAAAGCTTTGTACTTGTCGTTAATTTGGACAACTCTTCCAGTCCTTTTGTTAGTTCATGTTCTTTTCTTCCTTAAAAACTGGCTAATAACTCATCACCATTCTTAGGGAGCCATCCCAGAATAACTCACTAACCTCTGAGTTTTGGGCCTTTATTCTATTATCCTCAGGATTTATATACTTGATTTGAAATCTCTTATTTCAATTTGTCAGATGCTTTAAGCATTAACTGTTTTTTGACGTCTCCATACTCTAATGGGAACCGTAAGTTCTCTCAGGGCAGAGGCCCTGTCTTCTGTTTCTTTTCACAGCTTTTCCAAGTGGTCCGTGCCTTGTCCATCCCAACCCCTTTCCAAGCTCATCTCCTGGATCTGAAGCCTCCACCCTCTCATCATGCCTTCAGCCTGTCCAGTCTCTCAGCAAACACTTAGTGAGAGTCTCCCGTGGGCCAAGCACTGTTCTAGGACCTGAGATACAGCCATCGAAAACGAACTAGGGTCCCTGCCCCATGGAGGAGCTGACATTCCGTGGGGCCTCGGTCTCCAGGCTTTGCCCATGGGCCACTTGTCCTTAACTGCCCGGGGCTGGCTCCTCCTGCCCTGGCGTGGGCTACTCCACTCCGTCCGGAAAACCTGTCGGTCTCAGGCTTTCTGCCCTGCTGCTTGCTGCCCCTGCCCTCCGCTGCCCCATCCTCAACTAAGGCACAGCTCAGCACCAAGGTGGGGCTCCCCGAGCTCTGCTGACCCCCTTGGAGACATTACTCACTGCTTCTCGCTCTCGGTCCATGATCGTCTCCAGCTCCTCAAAGTGCCGAAGTTTGATCTCCAGCTTCTTCATCTGAGTCTCCACCAGCAGGGCCACCAGAGACTTGATCTTCCTCTCCTCAACGGCAGCCAAGTGCTAGGGAAGGGCGCGTGGAAGGAGCATCAGTAGAAAGACCCAGTGGAAGACATTCCAGGGCAGAGAAAGGCAGGGTGGAGGCTGGCAGGTTTTAAGAAAGAACTTGCTGTGGTCCCAACCCAGAGAGTAACACAGGCTTGATATTTTAAAAGAACATGAAGAAAAATAAAGCGTGCCAAAGAACTAGAGAAGGTCAAATAATCAGAGGGTGGTAAAAGCTTAAGAGTAGCAATGACCAACTCTCCCTCTTAGAATCAGAAGAAAAAGGAAATGGCAATATTTAAGGGATGAGCAAGGAAGGATTTCCTCCAGATGAAGTGAGATCAGGGAATGGGGGATCTCCTTCTTGAGGTCTCTGGGTCTCTGGCCCTCACCTTGGCCTTCACGGCGGCAGCAGCTAGCGCAGCGGCAGCAGCAGTGGAGAGGTTGCCCTCACCGATGTCCCTCTCCACCTTGGTCTTCCTTTCCCCCTCTGACTCCACCACTTCCTTCAGCACTTCCTCCTGTCCCTCCTTCGGTTCCTTCTCCTTCTCAGGGTCAACTGGGCCAGGAACAGGGTTGTTAGTCCTACAGCCTCCCCACTGTCTCCTGGACTTCAACCACCAGGCCGGGGGGCTCACCTATGGGGTCCCCATCATTCTTTTCTGACTCCTTCTCACTGTCACCTTCTTTCCCTTTCTCTTCATCCTTTTTGGGAGCCTCGCTGGTCTTCTCCTTCGCTTCTTCCTCTACAGCCCCGACTCCTTCTCGGGGTTCCTGGAGGCCCAGGGAAAGAAGAGGAGAGGATGTCAGGGTGACAGGTTCTCACGCAAAGGGTCTGGACTGGGAAATACATCTATACCTCTTACTTGGGAGGTGCTCTGGCTCCAGGAGAAGCCCAGCCCTCGCCCGCCTGAGACTGGCCAACTCCCCATCACCACGGTGCCATGCCTGCCCCCCGACCCTCCGGGCCCAGGTCAACCCTGCTGTACCTTGGGCTCCTTCTTCTCCTCTGTGGCCTGGCCCTCCGCCCGCGCCTCGTCAGTCCCGCTCTCCTCTGGGCCCAGGGGAAGAGGAAATGGGAAATGGCTGATACAGTCTGTCTCTGTGATACTTTTCCCATAGCCCCTTTTCCTAGCCAAAATCTCAGGGAGAGGACCAATAGGGAGCCGTAGTGCCTAAGGTAAAGTCCTGGCAAAAATACCTGCCCCCCCCGCACCAATTTTCCATTCGTCATACGCTGAGGCCAGCTGAGGCAGGGACAGCAGAGGAGACCAGGTGGCTCAGACTCTGGGTGGAAGGGGAGGAATCTGGGAACCTGCCAGCCTTACCGATCCGTTCAGGCTCATCAGAGGTGGTTCCGGCAATACCGCTACTTTCCAAACCGAAGGCAGGGTCTGCCTTGCCTGTCACTTTGGCTGCTTCTTCCACCTTCCGAACGTGGGCTTCCACCAAGGCGGTGGGTACCTCTTCCTTCATTTTGGAGAACTCCTCTGTAAGATCCAGAGGGGATGAGGCTGGGAGTGGGGGCAGGCGGGCAGTTCCGCTACCCCAGGGAAAGCCGTCTCTTCATCCAGGCAGCATGGAGCCAGCCCAGTGCCTGAGCTCATGCCAGCAGAAGAAAGGCCAGTAGGGCAGCCGAGCTGACGGGGTCTCAAGGCCCGAGGAATCAGTTCTTCACACGCAAACCAAGAGGCCAGGACCCCTCCACATTACCTAGAGCCGACTTCGCGGCAGCAGAGGCGACTCGAGGATCGACGACGGAGGCCAGGAAGGCAACAGTGCTCATCACAGGGTTGCCAGACTGACTGAAGGGGATGGGCTGGTAGGCCAGGGGGCCCAGAGAGGCCTCCGAGTCTTCCAGGTACGGGTCTTCGATGGGGAGACGGAGAAAATGCAAGATGCACTCGTCCTGCGTGCGGCTCCCCACGTGCTCTGATACCTTGTTCCAGTCGTCTTTGTACATTTCCAGTGCCTGGTGGTGGCGGTGGGGACACAACTTGGCTTATTTAGCCCTTTTCCTTGAAGGTCAACTCCCAACTTAACTAAGGGTAGCTGGCTTCACAGCTCTGTGGTATTCAAGGGGGCCTTCCACACAGCACAGAAAAAGGATGTGGAGTTAAGAAAACGGCCCAGATCCCTGGCCTGGAGCTGTTCCCTGGGCCAGGTGCAGCAGGCATCGGGGAGGAGAGGGGCTGAGGGCGAGATCACGCTCGCCCCGCCCACGAATGCGCCTGGCACCCCGGCCGCTTCTCTGTGTGTAGACCACTCTTTTCTTTGCCCCAGTTACCTCCAGGAGTAGCAGGGTCTCCTGTTCCGTCCACTCTCGAGTGGCACTGGCCGCAGCTTTGCTCTGCAGGGGAAGCACAGGCGGGTCAGGGGGGCCTGTAGCCTCTGAGCAGTGAAGGCACTCGGGCCGTGAGTCGCCCCACAACTCCGTACCTTGGAGGGGACGTTCTTCTTTGTGTACATGTCTGTGCGTAGCCCGAAGTTCTGCATGTCTGTTGGTTTCTCTTTGCCTTTGTCAGGGAAGCTGAGCATTTGTTGGGAAGCAGAGGTCTGCTATTTGTTGAGGGAAAGAAAGAGGTGAGTACAAATGACCACCAGGAGCCGGGGGCGGGGCGGGGGGGGAGAGAGAGAGAGAGAGAGAGAGAGAGAGAGAGAGAGAGGCAGAGACAGAGAGAGAGAGAGGCAGAGACAGAGAGGAGACAAAAGGAGCTTCCTTCCCAAAGCCTCGACACCCCTGGGCGGGGCTTCCTCCCTCACTGCTGTAGCTCCTCTGCTCTCATGTCTCTTCTTCCCGGGCAGGGGCCCCCCAATAAAGGGGCAAATAAGCCCAGCAGGGTCTACACCCCACCTACCAGCTCTGGCTTGCCCTTAGCGGTCTCTGGCACCAGGTCGTCCAGCTCTTTGCCCTTGCGCCCAGCCTTGGTGTCAGCATCAACCTGGCGGCCCTGGGGGACAGAGCTTGACGTCATGGAGGCTGGGCAGGGAACACCTGGCCGAGGCCCTAGAGGCCTCAAGACCAACCGCTGGGTGGCCCGCATATGCTGGGGGCTCTCGTGCCACTGTTCCATGTTCCTTTAACGACTAGTTAGATCTGTAATTGGCGTGATAGCCATTTGTATTCACATGTCTTTACAGATTCTCTTGGGAGCTGGACAGTTAGGTTCTAATCCTAGATTTAGTACTCAGTGACCTTGGGCAAGCCACATAATCTTTCTTCTCTCAATTCTTGTAATTTATGAAATGGAAGTGGAAAAATGGAAGTGATAATAACTATGAGAAGAAAATGAAAAAATGTTGGAAACATGACAAAGTTAAAAAATTTCATGCAACTGAAATTTAAGCCATTTTTCTCTGTCTGTTCCACCCCCTACATTAGTCTGCCTGCTTCTAGAGGACAAAGAACATCTCTTCTGCCTCAGCAAGGCCTCGCCGTCTGAGGTACAGAGACTGAGCGAGGTTGCTAAACACCTGGGGCTGATTCCTGTCACCCTTTGCATGCTACGGAAAAGGAAGAAGCCTCAAAACACTTCTGAACCATACCCTAAAAAACCAGAAAAAGAAAAGTCCAAAGAAGCCCAATTTGACCCACCCCACCCTGTCCCCACAGCCCCTCACCCTACCTGTGGGGTCTTGGGCTGCAGAGGCACTAGCCCCGAGGGCGTGTCCGCCAAGACGTGGAAGTGAGAAGTGGGTGGAGGCCCCATTGGGGTTGGTCGACTCTCAGCGTCCACCTGGTAGTTAATGAGACCCCACTGTTCTAGGAAGGCATGGACCCTGAGAAGAGAGAGGGAGACAGGGTCCCAGGACAACCAGAAAGGTGTGTGAGGAGGAGAGCTGGGGGCAGGAGTGGGAGCCAGAAGCTCCCTCTCCCCAGCCCTCTTTCTCGACTCATTCTACTCCCTGGGAGATCTCATCTCCTCCCGGACAGCTAGGAAAATCGAACGAGAATCCTTCGACCACAGATGTGCTATTTCTCCTTTCTTTCTCCTTCCTTCCTTCCACACTTCAGAGAGTGCCACTGCCATCCCCTCAGATCCCGCATACCCAAACCTGCACTTCAGCTTCTCTAGAGCTGTTTCTTCCTGCTCGTTCCCCCACATTCCTTGCTGGCAACCCCATTTCTGCCCAGAGAGACCTGTGAGCGGACATCCTGACATATCCCTTGTCTCAGCTGCAAAACCCACCTCATGATGGCGCAGACGTCGCCTGCCAGGTTCCTGCGGCAGGCGGTGGAGGTGAGATACTCTTGGGGGTTCAGGCGGTAGGTGTCAATCATGAAGTTGCGATAGGCCAGGTAGCTTAGAAGGAGAGAGAAAAAATGAGGTAGAAAAATAAATGTCTACTGAGGGCTGACGGGCAGGAAAAATAATAAAGGAGCTAGTGGCTCCTCCTGGGTGACGAAGAAAAGAGGGCCATTTGACTCAATAAACGATGTGGGCTTACTGCGTGCCAGATGCCAGGGGTTCAAACACTGCTGACATTCTCCTTGATAAGGTTTTTAGTTAAGTGCATTTTGTCCTTGGCTGTATTTAGGGATGATTCACCGAACTTTTAAATAAAGAATCAAAAGGTGAAAGAAAGGGGGGGCTTTATTTCCAAATGCAGATATTAAAGAGATGTCTGTACCTATGTATCCAACCAGTCAGCATGACATGGTACAAAGAATATATTTGTTTTAGTTTTTTTTTCTATCCTCACCCGAGGACATTTTTAGTTTGCTTTTAGAAAGACAAGGAAGGGAGGAAGGGAGAGGGAGAAATGATGCGAGAAAGAGGCATTGATTGGTTGCCTCCAGTATGGGCCTGGACCAGGGATCACACACGCCCAGACCAAGGATGGAACCCACAACCTAGATAGATATGTGCCTTGACCGGGAATCGAACCTGCAGCCCTTTGGTTACAGGATGATGCTCTACCTGAGCCACACCAACCAGGGCAAAGAATGTATTTTGAACATGGAAAGATCTAAGTTCAAATCCCAGTTCTACCAACAGGGCCTAAGGCAAGTTACTTAAATCTTTGCCTCTCAATTTCTTCATCCATAAAATGGAGTGTCTGTGAGGATTAGAAAGGCCTGTGAAGACCTAGCACAGAGCCAGGCACATTGCAGAAGCTCAAAAAATGGTAGCCGTTGTGTGGTAGAGTATGAAGTTTGAGACCATGTCCTAGACTAAAGGATTCAGATCCTGGTTTTACTACTTACTAGCTGTGTGACCTTAAGCAAGTAACTTAACCCCTCTCTGTACATCAGTTTTCGGATCAGTAAACTGATGGTAACAACAAGACTTTCCTGTAAAGATGATGTGGAGAACGAGTCAGTGTATGGAGGACACTTAGGATAGTGCCCGGGAGACAGTAAGCTCTCAATGAATGCAGGCAATTCTCATCACTGACTATTTTATACCAAGAGTGCAAAGTGTGAGGAAACACGGTTTCGAATCCACCAAATGCCACCGGAAACAGCTCTGTGCCCTTTCTGTGTCAGTCACAGCATTCCAACAGGCCTCCAGTTTTTTAGTTTTTAACATGGTCAGTGATATACAGCTTGTAAGCTGTCTTCCAGATCTAAAAACACATGATTCTGCCCTGGCCAGCAGGGATCCGTGAGGCGGGGTATCGTTTAAACTAAACCCAACGGTCGAGGGTTCGGTCCCTGGTCGGGGCACGTAGGAGAGACAACTGGTCAGTGTTCTCTCTCACGTCAGTATGCATGTCCTCAGATGAGGATCTAAAAAAATCTACAATTCTCTCTTCCTGGTGAATCTGATGTATCTCCAGATCAGAAAGTAAAACGTAACTATTTAAAAAACAGGGTGCCAAGTGTGGAACAGTTCAGGTTGCAACCCTGCCTGCAGATCACACTGAGCCCTGTCACCTGCTCACTTCCTCCTCCCCAGCAAGAGCAGGGCTTCTCCACACACTGCTTCCCCGGGAGGAGGAGGAGGAGGAGGAGGGGGAGGAGAGAAGCAACCAAACTACAGGCAAAGAAACACCGTAGGAAGGGAAGGTGGCCGCAGAGAGGGGAAGCTGAGGAACAGCTGGAAGCAGGCCTGCTGGGCTCCCAGGGAACCTCGGCTCGGCAGGCTCCCCATAGGCTCCCCATCCCATCGTGACGCTGGTCCCGCAGCAACCCTGCCTAGAGCGGACCGTCAGGTCCCAGACAGAGCCAGGCAGGTCCGGCCCAGGGCAACGCCCTGAAGGAGATGAAGACCGGGGAGCCCCAAGCCTTCACTTACCTGGCACTTCTCTCCAGAGAGCCCTCTCCACCCCTTAATTCACAGACTTGGGTCTTAATAGATTTTCCTCGTTTTTTCTATTAAAACCTACTTTCAATAACCAGCCTGATAAGTCACTTACATTTTAGTCAAAGCTATAACTTTTGCTAGGAATATCTGCATCTTGGGTAACATCAGTAATTATGGATTGAAAGGCTCTGTACCCTGTTAAAACAAACGGAGGAGCTGGAGCAGGTACTTTTTTTTCACAGAGGCGCATGCTTACACGGCCCCCAGGAAAATCCTGGAGAGCATGCTACCGCAGCCCCAGAGCTGGGCTGGGGCTGCCTGGGGGCAGAGATCACATCCTGGTATGCCTTGCCTTGCACAAGGGTCCGGATCATGGAAGGAGCTCAAGAGATGTTTGCTAAACTGGATGTTGCTGGATCAGGAAGAATGAATGGGGACAGGGGGAGAAAGAGACTCATGAGCTGAGATTTCCTTACATTTCTGGAGTCTTGGACTTGTTCTTGCCGTTGAAGAACTCTGGGAGAGCCCTCCGCTCAATGGCATGAACACTGCAACAGAAGCCAGAGGGAATTCAGAAGGCCTAGTGGAGACATGGGAGCCCCAAAGGGAGGAAAGGCCGAGAAGGTGGGGCGGGAAAACAGTTGGGGATAGCAGGAGGGAGTCAGACGCTTGGGGAGAACTTCCCGCTAGGGCTCCCCTAACACTGAAGTGTGCCCCGGCCTATCTGGCTGAGGAAGAAAAGACCTATTCAGAGGAAGGAAGGGGAACAACACGCTGACCCCAGAAAGCAGGGAGGGAAGTGTCTGGAGAGAAGCGGGGGCCATGGTACCTATTGTAGTCAAACCAGGCTGCGTAGCTGGGAATGATGATGTGGTGGGTCTGCTCCGTCACGTTGTCCTCGTGCAGGTCCGGGTTCTTGGTCTGCTCCCCCTTGTTCCCCGTACTGTTCTCATCCTCATCCTACAAGTATGGAGGCTGCTGGACACTCAGCATTCTCACTGCCCCTGGCAACCCCCTGCTTCTCCTACGCCCCAGGAATATGGGCACTAAAGACAGGTGTGGGAACGAACAGTTATGGGCCCCAGAACTTGAAAAGTGTTGGTTTTGATCAATAGGTAGAATTAGCTTAGGGTGGGAAAAGTCTGGGCAGAGGGAACTTTATAGTCACAAATCAGAATCACATAGAGAGGTAGGGCCTCTCTAAACTGGCTCCACCTTGCCCGTGGTCTCCATGCTTTCATCCTCCTGTTCATCTGAAAGAGAGAGACACCAAGACAGAAGGCTGAAGCCCCCCAAGGAGCCGAGAAGAGTCCCACTTTCTGAGGCCTGGCAAGTTGGGGGAGGGTGGCGGCTGACCTCTCCTCCCTGGGGCTCTGGCTGCCTTGCCCCACGCCCCACGCCTTACCCAAGTCGGTCATGGTGCCTCCTTTGACTGGGGCTGACTCCGAGTCCTTCTTAGTGTTGACTGCCAGGAAAGAGTCATTTTATCAGACAGGGTCTGCAGGAATCAGGCCCTTACCTCTCATCTCTTAAGTTCTAGAGAGTTCACTTTCTTCAAAAACTTTCTCCATTTGATCACAAAAGGTAGTAACTTCCTCCAGTCGCAATCACTCTAGGGTTTGAAATTCACTTGCCACTTTCCCCCCTTCTCCACCCCAAAATTCATTTAACTTTTTTTTCCTATAGAGAAGCATCTTCTAGTCTATGGACATCCATAGATCATTCTCATCTTCCACAGGCCCTTATCCATATCTATGTGTCTGTAGTTCTGAACGAACTGAGACAGAGTCTGACCCAATCCCGCTGTAGAGGAGCAGTTGGATCTCAAACATTTTTGAAAGCAGAGGACACTTTTCTCAACTGAATTCACACACGAAAGCTCAGGAGAAAACACAGAGAGGAGAGCTGCTCTGATTGATTAGGGGCTGGGAGCCAGAGCTCCTCTCTCTGCCCAGGGCCCTCTTTGCCCTGCCCCTGAAACGTGCTGGAAGGTGTCTGGGCTAGACTGCCGACGACCAGCACCGAGGAGCGGTGGTCTCCACGGGAGGTTCTCACGTGAGACGCACAAGGTGGTCTGCTAGAACACAGGCAGAGAATATCAGAACTTCTCTTTATATTTGTTTTCCAATTTTATCCTTTACATTTTCCCATTTTTAGATGTTTGATGTGTTTTATAACGTTCATAAGATAGTGATGTAACAGTTCATGCATAATTCTGCTCAAATATATTTTCCCGCTGGGGCTGCAAAATCAAAAGGAGTATGGAGACAACTACCATCATGCCCAGGCACGCCGCAACTCAGTTACAGGTGTGAGGTCGGAGGACCCTCCATAGTGATGGGAAGACCATCTAGGCCTGGAGCTGACTATTCAGGGAGTCAGTCCATTCAGGGGGTTTGACAGAGTAGGGGCAGGTCCGGTAGGCCCAGGAGCTAGGCCTGGCCCGTACCTGTTTTAGGCAATGTCACCTCTTCTACGTTGGGGACCGGTGAGGGCTCATCCATGTCCTTTGTTAGGTCTTCTTGCTCCTCTTCTCTGTGGCCACGCTTGGACTTCGTGTAAGGTGTTGAGGGCCTGGGAAGGAAGAAGAGTGAAAGAGAATCCAGTCATCCTTGGACAAGGAGTCCCTGGAAGTCGAAGTTCAAGGGGAGGGAAGCAAGAGAGAATCTCAAGGGCAGAACTGAGGAAAAACATTAAGCAATTTCCTCAGAATAAGGCCCAAGGCTTTAGTTTGGAGATAAAGCTCTCTTTGAGTTTACTAGCGGCTGGGACTAGAACAGGTGGACAGCTGAAGAAGTCCTTCCCATCTTCCCTCCCGGAAGACCAGCAGCGCAGGGTCAGGCGGTCATGGGAAGGGATTTGTCCTTTGCTTCAGCACAGTGTGGAGAGAACGGTGAAGCTGGGGCAGGTTAGGGGCTGGCATACCCTTTTTTAGCATTTTTCTTCTTAGCTTCTGGGGTTGGTGAAGGAGAGGGGGAGCGCTTCCTCTTCTTATAGTTCCCCCCCTTTTTGTCCCGTCGATCTGAATCGGGGCTGTTCACCTGCAGGTTGGAGAATAGGGAGGAATGTCAGCTGATCGTATCCAGTGAAGACTTGTTCTGAAACTTATGCAAAGGCCTCAAGAAAGAAAGAAGAGGAATTTTCACCTCATCTGTCAATGTCTTGGCTGAAATCTTCTTTCGGCGAGAGACAGGGGCTTTGTCGTCATTTACTTCATAGTCTTCCTCATTCATCCATTCATTGAAGGTGTCTGTGTCCAGGATCCACTTTGTGTGAACCTGAAGCATAAAGGCAGACTTGCTGCAGAGAGGCCTAGGAGCCACCGCTCTGTCTGCGGGTCCTTAACAGAAAAGCCCAGGGCACAGAAGCCGCAGCTTCACTCCCAAGAATGGTCTGGTGCTGGCATTCTTTTTGGGGTGGGCGGGGAGGGGAGGGACTAGAAAAGCTCACCTTCCTGGGTTTCTCAGGAGTTGGAGCATCTTCCACAGAAGCTTCGATTTCACTGGCTGGGATCCACGTGTCATAACTGCCAGGGGAAACCCAGCACAAAGCAAAACCAATGAGACAGAGTTGTGGAAAAGGGAAGCTCGAACCTTTTACCTTTTCCATGTACAAAAAGTATTGCGTTCTGGGTTCTTTTCTTGGTATACCTATTTTTCTAGTTACCACTGGGATTCTTTGCATTACAAAGTAATAAAAACAATTACAAAATATTTTTAAAATAAAAAGGATCATGCTAACCCAACTACACATGACATTCAGTATATGTTTTTTCCAGTTACTTTTTCCTGTATGATTTTGTTTTTAAATAACTGCAATGACACTGGAGTTATTTTACATCCTATCTTTGCAGTTAATATTCATCTATAAATTATCAATATTATTTCTATGAGTTTAAAGGCTGCATAATAGCCCACTGCATAGACACACAAATTGGCTGAAACATTTTCCCACCAATAGACATTTAGATTGTTTCTAATAGTTATTAATCAAAAATTATACTGGGATAACCATTTTACACGTAAAGCCTCAATCCTTTTAGCCTAACCCTTGTCCAGTAAGTATAAACCTCCCCCAAGACAGAGGATTCGCATAATAGGAGGGAGGAGAACAAATTAACAGAACTAAAAATAACCTCAAAAGATAATAAAGTAAAAAATAAAATAAATCCCCCCCCCCAATACCTCCCCAAATCACTCCTAGTTGCTTTGCCAGATGGTCTAGCGCTTCTCCATCTGGCTTTCGTACTTACACCTGCCCCAGGATCCCATCCTCACCTGTCCGGGTAATAGCCCCAGTGCAGAAGAACCTGCTTATCCCTCTTCATGACGGGTCGTACCCATTCCTCTGGGGATAGAAACAGAGCAGGGAGAGGTATAAGTAATGGGGTACAAAAAAGTAACTCTGTATACAACTCCTGTTGCAGCAGAGGACCTGGAAATGAGAACGTATGATGATAGGAGGATTTAGGGTTGAAAGGAGAGAGAAGCCCAGGCACCACATGGGATCTCAGCAGTCCTCCACCTCCTAGTCCAGGCCATTCACTGCAGTGGCCAGGAAAAGCCGGGTCTCACCTTCTTCCAGGTTCCCTGGGACAGGATACACAACATGGGAAGCATTGTTCTTATCTTCAGTGACCGTTCCCTGGATGGTGCAAAAAGAAGTGGGTAAATATAGTCCCCTCTAAATTATTCATGGGTATAAATAAATAAAAATAAGATTTAACCACACATCTGCCTTCCTGATCATATTTTGCTCAAAATTGTATTTTTAAAAAAGATTTTATTTATTTACTTTTAGACAGAGGGGAAGGGAAGGAGAGAGGGGGAGAAACATCAATGTGTATCTCTTGCACGCCCCCTACTGGGGACCTGGCCTACAACCCAGGCATGTGCCCTGACTGGGAATCCAGCGGGTGACTCTTTGGTTCACAGGCTGGCACTCAATCCACTAAGCCACACCAGTCAGGGCTCAAAGTGGTATTAAAGAGTTAGTTTGCACTCTCTACTAAGCATACACCAGCTGAATAGCAGACGGAAATAGGATTGCAGTAATAATGGAGAAAAGTCAAAGAATTAAAAACTGCTACAGACGTTCCCTCTGAATAAATAATCTACACATGGGAAACGTAAAGTTGACTGTGTATCTCTAGCAATGACATCTACTTGTTATTCTAGAGTTCCACAGAGCAAAGATTTCATTTCTCTGAAGTCAGGCAATGTCTAGCTCAGTGGAAGTAGATGCTTTGTTTCTGCCCACAGGCCCACACAGTCTCTAGGAACAGCGACCCGAACCTGTCAAGACTGGGAAACGAGAGGAGGAGACAGAGAAACAGCAGCTCAAGGCTGCAAGTCTAGTGATTCTCTAAGTGGATATAGGCACCTCTGCCATAGAAAACATGGCCCCCAAGGGCTTTATATCAAATGGAAAACATCAGGAAAAGAGTCATGGAGTTTACAAAAACCTCTCCTGACCCACCCACTCACCTGGTGTCTCTTGATAATGTCCTTTAGTTTGCCTAGCAGTTTGGGTTCAATTTCTGGGCACAGAAAAATGTTTGGTCGAGACAGGCAATTATTCTGTGAGGGGAAGAAATAGGTGGAGTGAGATCACGAGGCGGGGGTGGGGGGTGGGGGGTGGGGTTCTGGATTCCTATTGTGAGAAGGGAGATGGATGGGAGATTCTTGACTAGTACCTGAACCAAGGACTTCTCAATGGTCATGAACATTTCCACATTGCGGTCCATGCGTGATGGATTCTGGAAGTCGTAACGCCGCCTTGTGAAGAGGCAATAATCTAGTGAGTACTATAGCTCAGCTCTGGGAATGACGTTAGGGTATGTGAGCTTTTAACATGGGAAATTAGGAGGCAATCCTGCCCACAGCTGTTGCCAAAATTGCCTAGGATCTGGGGTTCACTGATCTCAACTCACTTTGTATTTAGTCTGAAGGACAAAGCAAAGCTTGAGATGCCAGCCTAAGGATCCTTTTTCCTCTACAATACACACACCGATGCACACACACACGCTCACTCATCCTTGAAGACTATTTTGGCTCTGACTCTCAGCCATTTTTCTGACCTAGCAAGTCAGGCCTACTGACCTAGCAAAGTAAGACACTCATAAGAATATCTACCTAAGCTCTGCCACCCTAGAAAGACCCCCCAAGGAATCAGAGAAGGGAAATTCCCTCTAAAAGTTAGAAGCATAAAGAGAGGGTGTCTCACCATCCCTGGTCACTCTTGAATTTGTAGGCAGCTGCAAGTATGTGGCACAGAGAGCCTCCTGCTTTGAAATCTAGGAAACATTTGATCTACAAAATTGAGACAGGGAAGAAGTATGTAAGAGTTACATCCTAAATTCTCTTATTACTCAATCCTTTCACAAAAGCCCATGCTGAAGTGATCTCCCTCTCAAGGCTGGAATTCTTAACCCCTGTGCCATTGTATCATGTGGCCTAGAAGAGGGGAGAAAAAGAAACCACATTCACAAAGCCCCACTGTGCCAAGCACTTACTGGGTTACCTCATTGACCATTACAGAAACCCTACGACATAGGTATATTAATCCCATTTAGAGATGAAGGAACCAAGGCACAAAAGGTTTCAGTTGCTTGTCAAAGTCACAGAGACACCAAGTGACAGGACCAGGATTTGAACACAAACATGTACAAATCCAAATCTCATACCCTCTTAACGATGCCACAAGACTTTCATGCACCAAGTTCACACATTCTGAAATAACCCATTGCACAAAGTATTACTAAGACACAGGGAATGGTAAATTGGGGACTAGGTCAAGGCAGCAATGCCCTGACCAGAGGTAGAGATGGTAAAAAATTACCCCAAATCTCAAAAATTATGAAATTTACAAAAAACAAAAATAGCTTCCTCTCAAGTTTGGAGGGTTTACCTCCTTGCTTTTGCACTCACCGGCAGTTTAGTGAGCGGTGCATTGCTGACATGTTTGCCAAAAACTTCTTCCTGAAATTGTAGCAACTGTACAACCAGGCTAGACAGGGACTTGTTGGTGGGTGGTTCAGCTTGTATATACTGGGGAAATAGAGAGAAAGAACAAAAATAGACCCCAGATAAATTGTCCACCTCTTCCCTATTTCTTCCCCAGGAGCTCTGGAAACATCTGGGGCAGAGAAAATTGTGTCTTCTTCCCCTGTGTGTCTAGTCTCTATAAAGAAAATGGCAGAAGGGAGGCCCTCTATACCCCTCACCTGAAAGTTGCAATTCTGCTGCCCCCAACCCAAGATGTCAGTGCTGGGTGCTGAGGACAAGGGGAATTCCTACTCTTCCTTAGGTACACCCTGGCATCGGAGTTGCAGACCCTGATCTCTACCCAGAGGGCTGTAAACTTCTGAAGGTTCACTGAGTTCAGGCCATGGAAAGAATACCTTTAAGGCTTTAAGTGAGACAACAGTATATTCCTTGGGGTAACTTTGTGGAAGGCCATGATTCCCCCTATAATATGGCTTACTAAGAAGGTGCAAAGCAGTGAGGCAGAGCAAACAGAGTGAGCTTGTGCGTTCTGCTTCTGCTAGGAACAGGGCACAAATATCTTCACAGGCCCTCCTGGATGGGAAGGACCAGGCTCTTTGACAGCCTGGTGGAAAAGAACAAGACCACATCTGTCTTTTCTGAGGAAACTCCAGCTGTGACAAGTAACTCTGGGCATTCTTGAACATTTCCATATTATGCTACCTAGCACATTTGCCTCCTGTTCTAATTTTAAGTTGAGCCAGGAGGCTAACTTTCTCTTTACCTTTTGACCCCTGTTTTCTGAACCCTAATCACAGAGAAGAGTGCTCCTCTCAGTGGGAGGTGTAAAGAGATCCTTGAAGGAAAAGGTAAATGACAAAGAGCTAAGAGCTCCAAAGCTGAACCAGGTCACAGGCTGTCAATCACCCCAGAGCCAGAGACTAAGCCCCTAGATTGATCTCCCTTCTAAAAGGTCAAAGGTAGAAGCCTGGGAACCAGAACCTCAGGCAGGGGTAGAGACAAGCCCCAGACCCCACAGCTGTTTGTCAGGATCCTGACACCCAGAGACCTGAGCAGGAACAGGATTATTACAGGATCAGAGGGGCGTTCTCCTAAACCACTCATTACACTTCTGACCGGCTGCAAAGATGGGCAGGAGGAACTGGAGAAGTAAAGGAAAGTCAGAAAGAGAACCCCTCTCAGAGGGTAGTGAGTAGAGAAGCTGACTGTCTCCAGAGAAAAACCGTATGTTTAGATGTTCCTTTCAACAAGGCCAAAAGACAAAGACAATACCAGGAAGTTTCGGTAGTTAAGACAGGTAAGGCTTCTTAAACCCTTTGTTCACTACCTTGTTATCTACAGTTACGGGGTTGGGGGCCAGAGATATAAAGAGTGGCCTAGACTCTGAACCCCAAACCCAGGGCAATTCAAGACCAGGTGGTGGTGTGACTACATTGTGAACCTGAGGAATGGTTTGAGAAGAGGTCGCTACCAAAAACTCCTCCTAGATCCTGGCTCCCAAAGAGCTTTCGCTGCCCCTAGGCTGGAGGTGGGGGACGAGCGGTAGAGACAGGTGATCTCAGGGTAGGGGCCTTTTTCAGGCTGATGAAGCAGTCAATGGCCTGCTCTGTGGCTGTTTACCCTCCTGTCTTCTTCATCATCTCTCTCTGAACGTACACAAAGCACCAGGGAGGCCTCAGCCCTGCTGGTACCTGGCTCCGTGGGGAGCTGTGGCGGGCACTGTGGCGGGCACGCTGGGGGGTGGGGGTGGCAATCGACACCTAGTCCAACCCCGGCCGTCTCTCCCGAAAAAGCCCGGAAGGCGATGGCTTAGCAGTGGGTGGGCAGCTGGTACCGGGACCCGCAGGGGCAGTGGAGAAAAACACGGGGCTGAGGGCGCAGCAGTGGGGGCGGAGGCTGGAATCCGAGGCCCGAGGTAGGGCGGGGTGGGGGGGGGGGCGGTAAGAGGCTGGGGGAGGGGCGCAGGCCGGAGGGCGCGCTGGGGGCTGCACCAGGGGCCGCGGGCCGCCGGAGGGCGGGCAGGATCCCGGGGCGCTACGGTGCCGCGGTCCCTTTGTCCCGCCCCCGGTCTCCGTGCGGCCCTGCTCGCGTACCTTCTTGTAGTTCTTGCCGAGCCAGAGCCGCACGTTGTCGAACTGGGTCACTGTGTCCGCGGCCTCGTAGTACTTCACGTTGGGGCCGCCGTCCTTCTTCCGCACCGCCATCTTCTCGGGCTCGGGCCCGCCGCCGCCGCCCGCCCCGCTCAGCTCAGCTCCCGCCTCCTCCGCCTCCTCCGCCCGCCTCCCGCGGCCGCGGCCGCCGCCTCCCGCCGCCTAGGCCGGCCCCGGCCGGTGCAGCGCCCCCTGCCGGCCGGCCGGCCGCGGCGGCGGTGGAGCACCGGGTGCGGGACCGAACCTGGCGGCCTCCCCGGAGGCGGCAGCGGGAGCCTTGAAGTGGCTACTTCTTGGCGGGGGCGCCCCTCTCCCCTGAGATCTCTCTTGACCTGATGAAGCCTCTTTATTTTTCCCCCTCCCTATCAGCGGAGGAATTGGCACCTCCCTGTCCTACTCCAACGCCGACGGGCGTCCCCTGAGGCGCCCCCAGCTTCCAGTGGCCCTCACCTTGCCCATTCCTAATTCCTGGAGCCCCCTAATCCTAAAGAGCCCCAGATCCCTTTCCCCAAGACGTTTCTTCCTGTCATCCGTCTCCAGGAGTTCCCCTTTTAAACTCTTCCTGAGTCTCCCTGACCCCTAACCCTTTGTCCCAGCCCTCTTCTCACTCCTTAATGCGGAGTCCCCTAGCCGCCGCTCTCGGGACCCAGCCCCTTCCCTCCGACTGCTTCCTTTGCAGGCCCCGCCATCGCCTCCTAAATAGCTTTGCGCTCCTTGAGATCCCGAATCTTCACCGAGCCAGTGACTCTCCCTCCCTGGGTCTCCCGGTCCACCCGACTCTGTTGCTTTGAATGGCATAGGAGAGAGGTAAGGAGCCCGGGGGTAAAATATCGGAGTACGGGTAGGGGTTGGGGCCCGGCTTCCCCGAAACGCGGACCCCTTCTGTAAGCGCAAAGCGAAGCGTGGTTTTGGAAGTCACGGTGGCCGAGTGGTTAAGGCGTTGGACTCGAAATCCAATGGGGTTTCCCCGCACAGGTTCGAATCCTGTTCGTGACGTCCGTTTTTTCTCCCTCCTCCTTTAGGACTCCTACAGGGAACCCCTTATTTTCTCACGTGCCTTTCATACATTTACTTTTCTGTCTCGGAATTAGAAGCCGGAAGTTCTCACCCCTGGATTTGGGGGATTGGGGGTGCTTACAGAAGCTTAATTATGCACAACCTTATCGGCTGCTGGAATACAAGGGACTTTCAGACTTCTCCGACTATAGGTTCGCTAATAAAGCTTTGACATTGTTTCACGATTTGGGGAGGGAATAGCCTAGGATTTGAAGAAGGGTTGTTTTGTTTGGGAATGTGAACGCCTGTTGTAAGAGTCGAAACTGTAGTTTCCAGGAAAAGAGAGTACCTCTGGATTTCGTGACCACAAGTCACATCTTGTAGGTCGAATTACAAACGAAGCTCATGAAACAGGGCATTCTCTCACTTGGATTTTCTCGACGAAGTGCACCTCAAGTACCACAGGTCTAGGGGGAGTGCCCTATTGAAACAAACGCTGCAGATCTAGCGGGAGCTAGTGTGGGAAGATGACTATCACTTTTTATTGAGTGTTCATTATGTGTTAGGTAGTCTAAATTCTCCGTGTATTAACCAAGCTAGGGAATTAATCCCTTCTCTAACCGGTACTACCCGTCTCACCCAGTTCTTCCTATTCCCCAGTTTCTGATTGTGGGTATTAGCTAGTACACTTGTGGAGGATGTCCTTTTCATATTTCATTTCTTGCACAACGCTATCTTCTCCAGGAAGGATCCCCAGAAGACAGGGAGTCCAAAAGTAATTCATAGTGCTTTCCACACATTTATATTTTGGAGTGTCCCACCTTCGTACATACCATTGCTCATGTTGTTCTTTCCAAGGTCACCCTCACCAGTGATCACTTCCCACTGCCACCAGATCACTTTCCATGCTGCACATCCTTTTACTCCTCTTTGATGTTCTTGATACACATCTGGGAAAGTTAATTTCTTAAAAAGTTAAATTTATCCCACCTCCCAACTGTGTCTCAAATCTGTCCACTTGTCTCACAGTTGAGTGCAGACTGGACCCACCACTTTGCTGGAGCCTTCATTTGGACAGTAGGGGTAATTGTGAGGACTACATGAGTTAATATATGTAAAACTGCACTAAAGCATGCACACGTAACCAGAGACCTTAAACCCTTCCATAGCTGCCTTTGGTCTCTTTTCTCTCTGCTCTTCCATATTCCCTACCCCCATTCACTGGCGCTCTTTTAATTCCTGGTATAGTATTTGTCCATGTTTATGCTGTTCTCTGCCTGAAATAATCTTTCTTGTCCTCACTTTATACTCAGTCCGCACTTAAATGTTGGTTCTCCTGGAAAGTCTTCTCTAATCACCTATGGCCCACTACGTCCTACACCCTAATTTTATTTTGTGAAGTCTTTCTTCCCCTGTAGAATATAAACTCTTAGCACATATGAGGTGCTCAATTAAAAAAATAGTTTTGTTGACTAAATGGATGCTTTTTATAGCGGTTATGTGTACATGTTTTAATCTTTACTGAGACTGTACTATAAAGGACTTTGCATAACTTGGGAACTAGGACTGTGTATTTTATTTGTATCTCCTCTACTAGATCTTACACATAGATGTGATCAAATATATACTGTAATACAATCTAATTGGCTGGGCTTCAGTGCGGGGCTTCCTGCTGAATCCCATTTTGCGCATGCTCAGATATAAGTATCTGGAGAGCCAAGACCAAAGTTGACCAGCAGAGGGCAACCGACAACTTTGTTGTGACTGGAAGAAGGCTGCGTGGTTTATAAAATGGAGGATCTGAACTTAGGGGAAATTGAGAGAGGTTGGTTGGTGCTTAGGACATTCTACCTTTCCTTCTCAAATGCTTCCCTTGTAACTTTCTGGTGTGAGAGGTCAGGGCGTCGAACGCTCATGAATAGTAGATAATTTCAAATTTTTTACCACTGCCACAGCCCACCTTAATTCCCCAATTCCTTCATCCATCTCCACAAACCCTCTCTCTTTCTTTGCATGATCAGGCCCGCTCCCCACCACCATTCTTACATTACTACATTCTACCCACTGGCATTATTTCTTTAAAAAATTTTATTTTTAGAGAGAGGGGAAATGAGGGGGAGAGAGGAGAGAAACATCAGTGCGCAGTTGCTTCTCACGTGCCCCCTACTGGGGGGACCTGGCCCACAACCCAGGCACGTGTCCTGACTGGGAATTGAACCAGTGACCCATGCTCAGTTCACTGAGCTGTACCCACCAGGGCTATAAATTTTTTTTTTTTTTTAAATTTAGTCTTAGAGAGAGGGGAGGGGAGAAAGAGAGGGAGAGAAAGAAACATCAGTGTGAGAGATACTGATCTGTTGCCTCTTGGAGGCCCCCAACCAGGGACCTGGCCTACACCCAGGCCTGTGCCCTACCTGGGAATTGACCTGGAGAACTTTTGATTCACAGACCAGCACCCAATCAACTGAGCCACGCCAGCCAGAGCTTTTTAATACCCACTGGCATTCTTTAGTTCCCTCTGGTTCAGTATTTGGCCTTGTTTATCTGCCCTTAAGTTAACTTCACCCAGGCTTGCAATCCCAGTCATTTCAATCTCCTATGGAACCTTCCATAAATACCTTTGCATAACTTGTTCAAATCCCCCTACTCCACTGCACCAAACCTTCAATAATTCACAACCAACAAAACTACATCTGACCCAAAACACCATGTTTTCCTTTCCCCCTCTGCCTCCAACTCCATACTATCTTAATACCCTGTGGTAGAAATGTTTGCTGTGTGTGAAACCATTGAAGCCAATGGGCTTCAGAGACATTGTACTCTTATTTTTCTCTTACAACAGCAATTTCCAACCTTTTTCATCTCATAGCACACATAATTAGTAAAATTCTGCAGCACACCAAAAAATACATTGTTTGCTGATCTGACAAAAAATAGCTAGAATTTTGATTCATTCACACTGGATGGCTATTGTCGTGCTGGCTGTTATTTTCTCACTTGATGATCTAAGGAAAAAGAGGACAGAAACCTCGGACTAGTCAGGTGTTGTGTTTTTACAAATTCTTGTGGCACTCCAATTTAAAATCACTGTCTCAGAACACAGTTTCATCAACAAAATAAAAGTTTTACTTTACAAACTGTATTTTTTTACAAACTATATTTTTAAAAAATGTTTTATTTTTAGAGAGAGGGAGAGAAACATTGACGTGCGAGAGAAATATCAATCAGTTGCCTCTCTCACATTCCCAACCCGGGACCTGGCCTATAACATGTGCCCTGACTGGGAATCAAACCAGCAACCTTTTGGTTTGCAGACCAGCGCTCGATCTACAGAGCTACACCAGCCAGGGCACAAACTGTATTTTTAAATAAAACTTAACTGCAAAAAGAAAAGAACATTTCTTTGTTTTCTCGTTCTTGTGGAATTCCACCTAAAGCTTCATTCTTTTCCTTCCTCCCAAGACAAAAATTCCGAGCCACAGTTCCAGGCATGGCCTCTCAGCTAGACCATGGCCCTTTATCTCCAGCTGTCTACATCTACATGCCTGACCCGATGTCACTTAAAGCACAAAACTTCTCTTCCTTTCCCAGAAACACATTCTAGACTTTTTCCATTTATGTTGACACTATTTTCGATTCCATCTAGTTTCCAACCGTAAGAATTATCTGACATTTCCCCCGTGCTGCCCATCAATCATTGCTTCCGCCATCACATACTGTAATCTGATTCACGCTTTTGTTACAATGGCCTTCCAGGTGGCCCAGCTCCACCACACTTAAATCTCTAAACACTGCCTTCATCATATTACTCCCTTGTCCAGGAACTTGAACACCTGTCTAATCAAACACGGGCTCCTATTATCAATAACACTCTGCCTAAATCAACCTTTTTTTTAGCCTTTATTCTTCCCAGTAAGATCCCCCCAATATAATCAGGCTGGGCATTTCCACGTGACAGCCTAACTCCTCCTCTCATGAAGCTCCTTGTGTCTCTTCACTTTATAACCAGTGACTAGCTAATGCCACCCTATATTGATCTTGTCAGCTCCAAATTCTTAATCAAAGAATTTGATCTTAGTTCAAATTCAAATTAAGATCTTAGATCTTAATCAAAGTTGTTTTTATGCGACTAGAAAGATAATGTGTGGGAATCTAACACACAAGAATTTAGTATTACACTCTTCCAAGTTGTTGACTTGTTCCAAATGTTTAGAGGCTTGGATCTCCGCAGTTTATCCAGTAAAGCAAATTATTAGAGGCCTTGCGCCGAAATGATCTCAACTTGCACTTGTCTGAGGAGCGCTGCTGTTGCACAGAATATTTCTGCAACTCCTTCATGGCCAGTTTATGAGCCACGTGTGATTCATTATGTTGAAAATTTTTAAAAGCTGGCACATTAACCAACTTTATCATTTATCTATTTTGCAGATTTTTATTCTAGAGTACTTCTGCAATATCTGAGGTCCCATTCTTTAGCCTTCTTGTCCTTTAGTGTTTGCATTAATTCCCAGAATTTCTTGATCATCTCAAGAAATTTGGCAGAGAGCTCCCAAATCCACATTAACCCTGCTTCTTGCTCTTAAGCTCAAGACCCACATTTGCATTCACTGGCTAAACATCTCCGTATGGAAGCACTTCCAATGGAATGTTCCCCAGATAAGCTTATTACTTCACCCCTGAAACCTACGCATCCTGTCCCCCCTATGCAGGTTAACGACACTGCTCATTCATACAGACTAGAATAGAAACTTGTCTGTGACTCATCTTTGGTTAAGTGCCCCTTGTTAAGTGCAGTGGTTAGAAGCACAGGCTCTGGAATGACTCTGGGTTCAAATCCCAGCTCTAATTGCTGTGTGAACTTTGTCCTTTGTCTTGGTTTCCCTACATAGAAAAGGGAGAAAATAATAGTGCCTCATAAAGTTGGAGTGACTAGATGTGTAATAGTGCGTGACTCACAGTAAATGCTTGATCTGTTACCTCCTTTCCTCATGGCCAGTCCTTGTCAGAAGTCAGCTCCAGTGATTCCCCTGAGAAATCTTCCCTCTTGCATCCCATCAGGCAGGTCATTGACCCCTTTCTTCCTCTTGTCCCATCGTGCTTGGTCCTGATCTATTAGCAACACACTATCCTGTATTCCCCATGATTTATTCAAGTGCATCTACTAAGCTGAAAATCCCTTTGAAGACTTGTTTCCTGATTCCTTGTGGATCTCAAACACCGGGCACGTCTGGCACACACACACACACGCCAGGTGTGCTGTAAATTGTGGCCGAATCAGTCTGGTCAGTTACTGAGCCCTGTCAGTCTTCCTCCCTGGACATCACTTGTCCTCCTTCCTGTCCTGTTCAAGTTCTAACCCTCACTTGCATGAATTACTGCAAAGCTGTTTTACCATTGCCACTAAAATCATGAGACGGAAGTTACTCCCCTTCGCAGAAACTTACCTGTAAGTTAAAGCCCAAATTCCCTGCCAAGTATTCAAGGCCTTCCAAGCAGTGGCCCCAAATTATTTCCAGCTGTATCTGTTACTTCCTTCAAAAAACACTATGGTCTGGGTTGCACCAGTCTCTTCCTTCTTCAACATATCCTTTATCTCCACTTGTTGTTATTGTTGTTTTTAATTTATTCATTCACCCTGGCTGGTGTGGCTCAGTGGATTGAGTGCTGGCCTGCAAACCAAGAGGTTGCTAGTTCAATTCCTGGTCAGGGCACATGCCTGGGTTGTGGGCCAGATCCTCGGTTGTGGGTGCATTAGAGGTAACCACACATTGATCTTTCTCTCCCTCTTTCTCATTCCCTTCCCCTCTCTCTAAAAATAAGCACATTTAAAAAAATATTTCACTTATTTTGAGAGAGAAGGGGAAGGAAAGAAACATTATGTGTTGAGTCCTTCTCACATGCCCCCAGCAGGGATCCTGGCCCAAAAACCAGGCACATACTCTGATTGAGAATTGAACTTTCGGTTTGTGGGACAACACCCAACCCACTGAACCACACTAGTCAGGGCTCCACTTTTTATTCATGCTGTGATCCCAGCCTAAAACAGAGACCCCACATTTTGGGAGGGGGGGAGGTGCCCCCAAGCAATTTTAAAAAAGAAAAAGAATCAACATTTAAAAGTTGTGAGATTTAGCCCTGACTGGTGTGGCTTAGTGGGTTGGGCGTCTTCCTGCAAACCTAAGGTCACCAGCTCAAATCCTGGTCAGGGCACATGCCTGGGTTGCAGGCCAGGTCCCTGGCTGGGGGGCCTGCGAGAGGCAGCTGACCCGTGTCTCTCTCACATACCAACGTTTCTCTTCCTTTCTCTCTCTCTTTTCCACTCTCTAAAAATAAATAAAGTCTTTAGTTTCTTGAAAAGTAAGATTTGGGCCCTGGCTGGTGTAGCTCAGTGGATTGAGCTCAGGCCTGCAAACCAAAGGGTTACCGGTTTGATTCCCATGGACCCATGCCTGGGTTGTGGGCTGGGTCCCCCCAAATGGGGGTGTGCGAGAAGTGACCACACATTGATGTTTCTCTCCCTTTCTCTTTCCCTTCTCCTCTCTCTAAAAATAATTAGCTACAATCTCTTTTAAAAATTGGCAATATTGGGCTCCACCTATAGTAGCAACCAACCAGAGCTGCACTGCCAGCTGCTCCCTTCTCTCAGGGCATATATTCATCACCTAGTCAGCTTTAAAAAAAAAAAACCTCTCTACAGGGTGGTTGGTTAGAGTGTCATCAGGGCACATAGCAGGAATCAACTAATGAATGCATAAATGGGTACAACAAATCCATGCTTCTCTCAGTAAAATGCCTATCGTTAAGAAGCAAACAAACAAAAATTTCTCTACAAGGGACAGTGGAGAGATCAGGCTAGTCGTAGGACAACTGGCTCTATCTCCTGATGTTACATAAGACAAAGAACTTCTCACCCTGGCTGGTGTGGCTCAGTGGATTAAATGTCAGACTGCAAACCTAAGGGTTGCCAGTTCAATTCTGGGTCAGGGTATTTGCCTGGCTTGTGGGCCGGGCCCCCAGTAAGGGGCATGCAAGAGGCATGTATCTCTCACACACGTTTCTTTCTCCCTCCCTTCCCTTCTTTCAAAGTAAAATCTTAAAAAATATATAATAATAATAAAGAACATCTGTCCTGTGATGTCTTCTATCCTTAAAACTGTTTAACTTGAATCTCTCAGACTAACCCTCTCAGATCTAACTGTTTTGCAAAAATAGGAGCCAGAAGAACAAGTTAAAGGACACTGTGAAGAAAACACAAAAGCCCACTCTCCGGGACAACTGGCCCAACCTCTTCAATGCAGTAGTGTTACTAAAACATGTCATTCCAGGAATCCAGACTGAGAGTAGAGCTCAATATGATGCACGGCTCCTGGACTGGATCCTGGGCTCGACCAATATTAGCTTTAAAGTTCTTTTCTTGGGACAATTGAGGAAATGTGAATATAAGTTTGTATTAGATTAAGCACTTGTTATTTTGGCAACGTGTAAAACCTTACTTTTTTCAAATCTATATACTGAAGTAAAGAAGTTAAAACAACTGTCTCTACATTTCTCCACCCATACTTCTGACCTTGAAAGTTTAGAATGGGTTGGCAAACATTATGTAAAGGACCAAAACACAAATATTTGAGGCTTTGTGAACCAGAGCTTTGTGCAACTGCTCATCTCTGCCGCTGGGATCTAACAGCAGCCACAGACAACCCGTGAGCAAGTGGGCGTGGCTGTGCTCCAGTGTGTGTGTTTTCACAGTAGCGGACAGCAGGGTGCAAGCTGTGGTTTGCCAGACTCCGATCTAGAACCAGCGCCACTCCCCCTGAAGTCTCTCCTGGTGCCCATCATGGTCAGGGGCTTTCTCTTCCCTCTGCTCACATATCGCTTGTAAACCCCGAGGACATTATTATGTCTTATGACAACTCACCTCCATCCAGGAGTAAGTCTTTAAAGGGAGATGCTCTTTTGCTGCATGAATTCTCCCATCCCCACCCTAGTGAGTTCCTTGCAGAATATTCTGAATATTGTTTCCAAAAACCAAATCTACCCTAAAAGAAAGATTTGGTATCATTCATAACTTTGACATTCAAGAGTGAGCAGCAGGTTCTGAAAGTACTATTTTTGAAGGAAATTCAGAAGAAATTTTAAAAAGTGCTACTGGCATCACTAGAGTACACATGTTGCCTCTCACGCCCTGTACTGTGACATTCTCACTGCTGTTTTACAATCAGGCCTTGTGTGTATGAAAGCGCAGTAGAGACTCAGCTGGCTCAGGGATGCCCTCATGGTGCCGCCCTCAACACCACTAGGATGTCTAGAACACTATTAAATTTACAGTAGGTGCATAATAAATGCTCAACAAATTTAAAATGTAATACTCGGGGAAAAGAATGCTCTTTCTCATGACAGAGAAAGGGGCAGCAAATGCCCACGAGGAGTTCCTTGAGGTTGGACTGCCACAGCGGGTGGTCTGTTGTTCCTGGCTCCCTTCCTCACATTTGCTTTCTTGGTGAGGAGGCACTGGAGTGTGGTGGGGGGAGAGGCTTCCTTGCCTATGATAGAATTCCAAATTCCAAAACAAAAATGGAACAAGGGAGAAAGGTGCATGCACATCTTTTGTGGGAAGTGTCACCACAAGACATGGAATCTGGGGCAGAGGCAGACCCTGGAAAAAACAAAAACCAGACCACTGGAGAGAGAGCGCTGGCTGTTACGAAACAGGAGACAGGAGGGCCAAGGTAGGAGGGCACCACGGGGCAAGAAGACGGGAGGTGCCCACTAACCCCGAACAGACATCCTCCTACCACACAGGTGAGCTCTAAGACAAGGCTAGTTTACAAAGTAAGGAGGAAGGAAGGGGAAGGAAGGCCGAAGCAGAGGAGAAACCTTCACAAGAAGGGGAGTGCTACTGAATTAAGAATTTAGAGTTGAGTGAAAGGTTTATTATTAGTGCAGTAAACACCACAAGTAGCACAATCAGCAACCTGCAGAGACACCAGTGCAAAGGGTAGGGATGCCTGACCTGAGCTTCCTGGCTCTGCCTGAGGGTGACAGCAGAGGGTATGGAGGGGTAAGGCAGGCAGGGGCAGCAGGGAGTGTGAGAAATGTAGTGACCAGGTTAAGTATAGCAGCGTTTTCAAATTCCTGAGCACAACGTCCTGGAGCTGAAAAGTATGACTGCTCCCCACTCCCTTCCAGCTGTCCCCCTCTGCCCTAGTACCAGTGGAACCATGGCCCAACCACGCGGACTGACAGCAAGCTGGCCTGGAGTAAAACTCCAAGAGAAGAAGCTATTTGATGGCCATCTCTCTTCCACCCCACTCCCACCTGCACACTAAGACAATCACACCCACTATTCCTCCCCTTCTCTTACTCTGTCAGCAGTCACCTCAGAGGTCAGGGAATGCCCCAGGTGGCCTGAAATGGAGCTGCAGTCCTTATGTGCACAGGTGAGACAGAGTACTTACTGCCTGTATTCAGAGACAAAGACTTAATTTCTATTCCACCTTGCCCAGTGAAGGTTAGAACCCAGCTACGTATCTCCAAGGAAATGGGGAAGGGGAGTTTCTTTTACAATGAGACCTTGGAAGGGCCGGGAGCAAAGTTCTGCAGAGGGCTCAGGCATCGATGCTGGAATAGAGGAGGCTTCTCATCTCAGATGGGGTTTGGAGGGCTGGGGCAGACATTCGTTCAGCCAAGGATGCCCTTGGCCCTTTCTATATTAAAGCCAAAGGTTGCACTGAAAAGGGAAAACATAGAACAGGTCCCACCCCGGCCCCACCCTATCCAGAACCCCCACCACAGGAACAGCGAAAGAAAAGTTTTACATTTTGTTAATTTTTTTCTTTTTCGTTTCTTAAAAAAAAAAAAAAAAGTAAATAAATTAAACTGCCAACAATGTGGCCAGGCTGGAAAAGTGGGGTAGCCATAACCAGGCCATTCTTTAAGGGAAAAAAAAAAAAAAAGGTGGGAGGAGGAGAGTGAAATATAAACAAACAATGGCCAAAGGAAATTGTCAGCATAACCGGTTACAATCTCAGGGCTGGAGGGGCAGTGGAACTGTCAGCCTGTGCCACAAGAGGCGCTTGCCTACCTGATTTCAGCAAAAGCCAGGGTGCTGCTTCTTGCTGAGCATATTCACCCCAACAGACTAACCCCTACCCCATTCCTGTCATTCCCTAATTAAGAGGAAGTGTAGGCAAGGAGAGTTCATCTGGGAATTTTCGGCATCCCAGCTTGCACACGCGCAGACCCAGTGGCAGCCTGCACCTTTAAGGTGGGCCGAACAAGGTATTGCTTGGCACAGAGGTCCAGTCTTCCCCTAAGGGCCATCGATGAGTCATGGCTAGTTGCTGGCTCATTATTTCTAGGGTTTGGGTTTCCCCCTTACTGCTTCTTCAGGATGTTTGCTCCCCAGAGTAGCTCTCTAAGTGCTGAGAGCCAATAGGCCTGCCTGCTCAATTCCCTGGTTTTGAAGAAGGGTAACGATTCAAGGTTTCTGGCTCTACCCCGATACTCTGGGGAGAAAAGGAATACCTTTGTGCTTTCTGAAAATGTCTGGAACCAGGGACCCCAGGCAGGAAAACATAGAGAGATGGGGACTTCCCTCCCCAGACTGAAAATTTACAGACATCTGAGGGGAAGAAATTAGGCAAAAGAAGGGAATCTGGGTTTCCCACCTGAAAGGCTGAGCAAAGTGTTCCAGGGCCCTTCAGTGCCAGAAGAGCAGGGAGATGTGGCTCAAGTACCAGCCACAGTGTTAAGGACAGTGGGGAGGACTCAGGGCTCAGCTACTGGAGTGATGAGATTTTCTGATTTCCATCTTTTTGCCAGCCCACCAAAATCTATATCTCTTCCACGCCATGCGCAAATATCATGACCAGCCCCGGCTCCTGCACCATATCGTCACCCATATGCTGGTTCTCACAGGCCATCACCACAACAGCCTGCTTGCCGGGGATGCGCTTGGCCACATAGTTCTCGTAGTACCGCCGGTTCATCTGTCTTGTCTCTAGTGTGGCCAGACCCTGGGGCCAGCTTCGCTCGTGGGCATTTTCTATCAGCTCGTTGACAATGGAGGCAGGACAGCCACTCTCCACCAGGGAGCGCTTGATCACAGCCTGGAGTACAGCGTCCGGGGTGGAGATCATCCCTCCCCAGCGGGTCACTCTGGCTGGCTGCAGGGAGTTCACCCACCTGTGGAGAGGAAGATGGAGATGGTCATCCCAGCTCATCCTTTCTTTGCATTGCTTCTTTCCCCAGTGGGAATGACCACCCGCTCTACACTTAGCTTAACCCTATTCTCCCTCCCTCCTCCTTTTTCTCCCTCCTTCCTTCCTTCCTTCCTTCCTTCCTTCCTTCCTTCCTTCCTTCCTTCCATCCATCATTGGTTTAGAAACTACTGATCTTTCCCTAGTTGGTCCCATCTGAGTCACCAGGTTACCCAATTAAACTCCATGAATGTAGGGTCCCTGATATTTTTCTTAAAAATCCCAATAGCGCACACAGTGCCCAGAATGTACTAAGTGCTCAACAAATGTTTACTGAAGGAAGAAATTTCTCCTCTATACTGGGTCCCAGACAGCACTATTTGCTCTACGTGTACTGATTCACTCTTAACACTTTAGTCTATGAGATGTAAGGACTCCAGAACTGAAAAGAACCTTAGACTTTGCTTGTTTACTTCGCTGCATTTTTAGAATACTTTTTCTGGATTTACACCCTCTTTTCTTCTCTGGATTGTAAGCTACCTAAAGACAGACAATATCTCCTGTTTCTTTTTGGCTCTCCTAGCACTCCACACCTAATTGGGTACTCACTTAATCCTGGAGATATGGCATCCCTGGGTAAGCTTTCCCTTCTACCCACCCCCAAAATAAGGTTATCATCTTCTCTGGCCCTGTCCCTCATCCCAACATCTCAAAAGTGGCAGCCCCAGCCCAGCCTTCCTATCACCTCCCACTGCCACTCTGATGTTCTTCCTCCTTTCAGGGCTCAGTGCCAGCATGGAGTAACTCCATGTCCTGAGTGAAACTTACTCTAGGATCTCATTGTATTCAATAGTCTCCTCCAAGTTCTGAAGGTTGGGGTTGACACTGCGGATTGCACGCATATACGCCTTCAGCAGCTGAATGTCTCGCTTCTATTGGAAGGAAATAGAACCAGGGATGAAGGTTAAGGTGGACAGCAGGTGAAAGACAAAAGTTTATCTGAGAATGAGGGCAACCGAGAGACTGGAGGAACAACCAGACTATAAGCTTTAGGACGGCAGGGATATGACTGTTTCATTCCCAGCTGTATCCCCAGTGCTCAGCAAAGTCCCTTCACAGAGAAGATATTTGACAAATGGCAGGTGAATGAATGGCACGGAGGGGCTGAAGGGAAGGGAGAAGAGCTCTAATCTGATTCCCAACTGAGCTGCAGGCACAGCATGTCCTCAGCCAGGTGTGTGAGCACAGGCACAGACCTGCAGCTCACACGGTGCATATCACCCACAAGCATGTGGTTATTTGCATATTGTGGACATGTTTTTCCCCATGTTCTCTGGGCCCTACCTGCTCTGCCAGCTGGTGTTTGTGTTCAGCTGAGGTCTTCTCCAGCTCTGCGATGCGTGTCTGCTGCTGCTGTACCACTGAGCGCAGATGCTTAATGCAGTTGTGGTTTGGCAGCTCATCTTTGGGCATCTCCAGGCTGCCGCCCAGAGTGAAAAAGAGCACAGGAGCATTCAGTGGGACATGTGGGCAAAGGCAGAAGCTTGCTTAGAGGGCGTTCACCTACCCCAAATTTCTAACATTCATTCATTTCTTTTTAAAGACTTTATTTATTTATTTTTAGAGAGAGGGGAAGGGAGGGAGAAAGAGTGCGAGAGAAACATCCATGGGTTGCTTTTCATAAGCCCCCAACCAGGGACCTGGCCTGCAACCCAGGTACGTGCCCTGACCAGGAACTGAACTGGTGACTTTCAGTTTGCAGGACGATGCCCAACCCACTGAACCACACTGGTCAGGGCTAACAGTCATTCATTTCTAACTTCAGTCCCCCTCTTGTTTATTCTCTGCACACTCTCCTCCCCAGATCCCCTCTCACCCCTTTGCTACCTGGACTTCTTTCCCTCTCTAAGTCCATGTTTTATCTACCACACGGCTCTCCTTTCCTCCTACAGATTCTGCCTGTGCATTTACTCCTGAGAAGCCCTAGATTCACAGCCCTATCGGCATTTAATCAAATATTTCACACCCCAAAGAAAAAAAAATAGGGCAAGAGGAAATATGAGAAGGCTGGAAATTAGAGCAGCCAATCTGACAAAGAGAAAATAATACTGACTCAAAGGGAAGAATAAAGTAAATGGAGTCTAGTGCTATCTGCAGATTGCTGAACTGCTGTCTCCCTGATGTCCAAGCAAGAACAAAAAGATCACAGTTGGAAAAGCGGCATGAAAGTGAGATCTTGGGGCAGGATGCCATGGAGGCCGAGAACACTCCTTGTCTACGTGCACCTCGGCCAGGGGGCAGGGGATCCAGAGACAGGGGCCTAAAGGGGAAAGCCCTTATCCTGTGTCCACGTGGGGCAAAGAAGGGAAGGGGTCTCACCCGCAGCCCTGTTCACAGGTCACAGGCCGTTTTGGGTTGTGCTCACAGTCGCTGAGGTGAGACATTAGGTTGTCAAGCCGGACAACAGCACTGCAGCCAAACACAGCGTTGTCGCAGGCAATCTGCAGCTTTGACAACATGTTCCGCATGATCCGAGGTACTGGGCGTAGGTGGGCAACCGTCACTACGCTACGGTCCACCGGACACGTCTGCTGCTGAGAGAACCACTGGGTGATACAGGCATTGCAGAAAGCATGCTCGCAATGAGGTGCCTAGAGGGAGAGCAGGGCAAAAGGGCACAACAGAATTAGCAAAAGCTAAGAGCCTGTATATGGTAACTCAAAAAAGCCAATCAAGCCTTTGAGCAGCCTCCAGGACCAGAGGTCCCTGGCATCACAGCCAAGTACAGCTGCACTGTGGACAAGCAAGGTATTATGGGGGACAGGCTTCAGATAGGTTTCCTGTGTTTAAGATCCCAATTAGATTGTAATGTAAGACAAGTAACTAAGTTTTATAGCAATAAGATATAAATAATATTCCAGGACAATAGAAGAGATGACATAAGGCAGTCAATTATTAATTGCCGACTGGATTGCACACACAATAATTACCGAAGAAATCCAGAGGAGGGTGAGAACTTTCTAAGCTAGGTCAATCAGGGCAGAGGACAGAATTCAATATAGGTTCTGAAGGATAACGGAGGTGGGGAACAGATTTACTGGCAAAAGTTCAATGTAAAAAAGCAAAAAACAAAAGCCCAAAACTCCTGGGGAGAGGTTAAGAGTCCTCTTTGTGTGGGTCCAAGTTCATATTTTATGAGGGATGCTTTGCCCTGAGTAGTCCCAATGGTCATACCTACCCTCAAAAACGGGGCTGGTTTTTCACAGAATCACATTCTTTTCAGTTTCATAAAGATCACATTTCAGCCTACTTCCTTGATAACTCAGGTAACCTGTAAGTTAATTCCTCAAAGTGAGAGGATTCTCTGGCCTCTATGGAGACACTATCTGGCCTCTAGCATGGGGCATACACAATAAGCATTTAGTAGGTGTTGATGAATGAATGAATGAATGAATGAAGTGCCTACTATGTCCCATGTACTTTGCTAGGGACGTACAATAAGAGAAAGACAGTTTCTGCCTTCAACGGACCAGACACCAGAGACTGAACATAGAAGGGTTTGTGAGGAAATCAGCCGCTGTCAGCATCACCAATCTAACTGTCTGGTTTTTATTTTTCTCTCAAAGACAACCCTATCTCCAAAAAAATCTTATATTTGTCTACTTTTCCCCCATCTCTACAACCACTAACCCAGTTCAAGTGGTCATTTCTCATCTCTATGACTAAATGTCTTCTAAATGGTCTCCCTACTTCCACCTTGCCTGCCCCTTTATACTCCCTTCTACCTTCAGCAGCCAGAGGGGTGGTTTAAAAATACATACTAGGATCATCTCACTCCCCTGCTTAAAACTTTACAATGGCTTCCCACCGTACTTAACATAAATCCAAACACTGGTTCAGGACCTGTAACATTCTGCTTGATCCGGCCCTTAGCTCTGCCCTCTCCTCACCTCATGTCACGCTCCCAGCACTGCGCTCAGGCCTTCTGGGCTTTCTTCCTGTCCTTGTCCACACTCAGTCATTCCTGACTCAGGGCCTTTGCTTCTACTGCTCCTCTTTGCCTGCAATGCTCTTCCTCTAAATCTTAGCATGAATAGTCCCTTATTCAGATCTCAGCTGAACTGTCACCTCTCTTGTGGCCATCTTAACTAAACCTGCCACCCCTACAGAAATACAGAGAATGAACTATCTTTTCATGGAAGAAAGGTGGGCAAATTTTTATATTTATCTTCAAACGTGCACGTACCTGCGCATACATACTAGAAGGACGCCAAGTAAACTAATAGATATTGATGAAGGGACTAGGTGGACTGGGACAAGGATGCAAGAGTACTCAATGTATACCTTTTTATACTGTTTTGATTTCTGAACCATATGAATTTATTACCTACTAAATAAATAAATAAATATGATGTAGGGAAATCAGCATCCCTAGCAGGGGCCTCCTACTCTTGGAAATGCGGCTGCTAACCTGGCACCATGAGGTCTGCCTGGCCTGCTCCTCAGAAAGTGAACCCTGATGTTGGCAGGGGGTGCTTCTGATAGATAGTCAGCAACTGCCACTGACCTCTCCACACATGTCTCACCTCAAATGACAATGCCAAAAAACAGACAAGGCCCTGCCAGCACAGGGAGGGAACAGACACACCCCTGACCTCTTGACAACACCGGGCTAGCTTGCTCCACACCCAGCCGATCTGCTTCTAATAGCAGGATGCTGCAAAGGCCTGGAAGACAGGAAAGAGATCCAGGGCGAGCTGCTGATGGAATACAGGCTGAATCACATTCAACTCAGGCATCTGTGCTCCTCTGGACAGTAAGAATAACTCAAAGGGTCAAGGAACCCCAGGATGCAGTGAGCTGTGTGACCAGTGAGTGCAGAAGGGCCATGAGACTTCAGGGACAAGTGTCCTGGTTTGAAAAAAGGGATTACCTGTAGCTTGCCAGGAGTGACAGAGGATTAATTGGTATTTGCAGAGTTCAGGACCATGCAGGATGATGATGATGTCCCAGGAATACAACTGTTAAGAATTCATCTCAGGGGGAGGGGAGTATAAACGGACTAAATGGTCATGGAAAAAACTACAATAAAGAGTTCATGAAAGAAAAAAAGAAAAGCATTCATCTCATTCATCACACTTGCCTGTTAATCGTCAGCTTCTCCTCATACTTGCCCCAGGAAGACACAACTGACTCTGGTCTGGCAAGGCTGGTGGAGAAACGACCCACTGAAGGCGGCAGCTTTCACGCCAAAGGCAGACTAGATGGCTGCCTCCAAAACTGGTCTTCCCAATAAGTCCCAGGAAGAAAATAGGTCAGTACCTACAGCTCCCTACTTCCTATCTGTTAGGCTGTAGACAGGGCCTGCAGGGAGACTGGCTGACTACCCAAAACACACCATCATAATGCAGAGAGAACTCATCCGGAGGGTCCAGAAGTTCGGTCGTGGGTAGGAAGACAGAACTTAGCCAGGGCCCCTGAAGAGGAAAGGAAGTCCTCAAGCTACTGTCAAAAGACAGAAACAAACAACTGACCATTTTACAGCAGAAAAACCTCAGTGACCTGAGAAGAAAATCTGAAGCACTGGACTCCTGTGGCAACCACCTCTAGACAGACTCTGGAAGGGCCTGTTCCTCTCAGTCGCCACTGCTCCTCTGCCCCAAACCTCCATTCTGTGTGTGTAAAGAGGGTCAGAAGGGCCATGGGGAGTCAGAACGGTGACGTCCCTATTGGTCCCATTACCTATGAATACTTTCTACTGGCTCCACTGCTATCTATTGCCCCACTAAACCTGCCATCAGACCGACTCACCTGGACTGGCTCCTCCAAGACTCCACTGCAAATAGGACAGATAAGATCTTCATCAACATCCCCCTGGAAGCGGGTTACATCATACCCCATGTCTCATCACTGAAACCCAGGGCCTGGAAGGAACCACAGAGGAAAAAGAGGCCAGTTCAGAAGAAGCCTACAAACACGTGCCAACTTGAATTCATTGCTAAGACCCATTCATCTGTCCAAAAATTATTGAGAGCCTGCTATGTGCCAGTCACTTCAGGGGGGAAAATGATGACTAGGGAAACTTAATTCTAACTCGAAAAGACACTACATAGCACATGTTTAAAATATGAAGTGGTAAATATTTTGACAGAGTAAGTTTAGGGCATTATGAAGGCAAGAGGCATAGATTCTCAACCCAGGCTGAAAGACAACGGTGATTTGGGAAGCTTCCTGGGACTAGGTGTCACCACCAGGACAAGCAACAGTTAGCTAGGTGATAGGGACAGGGGCAGGGCAGGCAGTAGGGTTTTAGGCACATAAAATAGCACATTCAAAGGCCCGGAAGTAAGCGGCATATGATGGATGTGGGGAACGCTAAGTGGCTCAGAAAAAGGCAGACCTGAAGGGCTCGAGGGAAGTAGTGTCTAGATGCAGGGCTGGGGAACGCAGGGTCAGGCCTTAGGGAGCTTGAACTCCATCCCGAAGGCTATGGGAAGCCACCGAAACGCTTAAAAGGAATGACTGAGTGTGGGCTGCGAACCAAAGTGTAGCAGTTTCGATTCCCAGACAGGGCACATGCCTGGGTTGCAGGCCATGACCTCCAGCAACTGCACACTGATGTTTCTCTCTCTCTCTATCTCCCTTTCTTCCCTCTCCAAAAATAAATAAATAAATAAATAAATAATCTTAAAAAAAAGAAAAAGAAAAAGAAAAAGAAAAAGGAATGACTGGATAAAAGTCCCCCTTTAGAATCATTCTACTGACACAAGTGAGAATGGAGAAGGCCATCTAGGCAGAAGAGAATCTGGCCTTAGGTGGTGGCAGTGGGGACAAAGAAGGACGGAGGTTCAGGAGAGCAAGGGCTCAAAAAGCAGTGGGGCTGCCATGCCTCTCCTTTGGGCGCCTGAGGGTCACACCCAAAGAGGAGGTCGCTGAAGGGTGACCGAGTCTCCCGTGCAGATATCCCACTGCTGGGCTGAGTGGGTCAAAGATGGGCCCCTGCTGCAAGGGTAGTCGACCCACAGACCAACCAGCAACTGCAATGCCCTGGAAAACACGCTGAGTCAGATTCTTGGGAATTAAAACTGAGCTATTCAATTTTTAAAAAAGATTTTATTTACCTATTTTTAGACAGAGGGAAGGGAGGGAGAAAGAAAGGGATAGAAACATCAATGTGTGGTTGCCTCTCACATGTCCCCTACCAGGGACCATGTCCCCTACCTAGGGACCCTGGCAAGTGCCCGGACTGGGAATTGAACTGACGACCCTGTGGTTCACAGGCCAGTGCTCAATCCAGTGAGCCCCATCAGCCAGGGCTCAAGCCGTCCAATTTCAAAGGGGAGGGGAGGGATGAGTCCAAAAGACCTCGATAGGTCAAATGCAAGCTAAACTACAGGACTGGGTTGAGTTAAAACTGACTGGGTTCTCCCCAGTTCTACTACCCATTAGCTGGGTGACCCTGGGCAGACCACGTAAACTTCCAAAGCTCAAGTTGTTTTTTTTATAAATAGATAAAATGGATATAATAATAGAAGTGACTCTCACAAAGTGGTCCTTAAAGAGATAATGCATATAAAACATTTAGCAAAGTACCTGCTGGCACAAAGTAGGCACTCAATACACGATCATAACCATTATTTATGTATACATCTAATTTCTACTACTTGGTTAAAAATTCCTTAAGAGCAGAAACTCATATTCTATATTCAGTGTAGCACCAAGCACAGTTCCTTACAAATCAATGAAACGTTTGGTATATTTAAATATTACCTTGCCCTGACTGGTGTGGCTCAATGGATTGAGCGCCGGCCTGCAAACCAAAAGGTCGCTGGTTCAATTCCCGGTCAGGGCACATGCCTGGGTTGCAGGCCAGGTCCCCGACTGGGGGCGTGTGGGAGGCAACTGATCAATGTTTCTCTCACACATCAGTGTTTCTCTCCCTCTCTAGAAAAATAAGATAAAATCTTTAAATGTTTCCTTAACTGGGAGCTTCCCAGCAACCAGGATAGAGTGGACATCTACTCTTTTACTTACCTAACATCTTATTTTCCAGTTTTTCCTTAGGAATCTTACCCTAGTTCCTAGTGGACATGTGACCCAACCCAGGACAGTGAGTTTGGGGTACCTGGGACCTCTACAGGAGCTCACAAGGGAAGATCTTTCCCCTGGGATTGCACAGCTGGCAGAATGTATGAATCAGAGTGGTTGGTAACCATCTCTGCCATTAAGAAAGGCAGCCTGCTCACAGAATGAAGCCGGTAATGAAGAAAGTAGAGTTGAGAGATCAAATTCTGATGAGATCCTCTGAGGTCCTGGGTTCAGTCACATGTAATGCCACCATCAGCTTTTTGGCATCAGTTACGTGAACACATAAATTTTCTATTACGTTTAGGCTGGTTTGAGCTGGGTTTTTGTCTCTTTCAACTGGTAAATCCTGATGAATACACAAACTTATGGATACAAGAAATCACAAGGCTCCCTCTGGAACCATGTATCTGTCTTTATCCATTGTATACAAGAACAGTGACAGCCTGTGACATTGCTACAACTACATTGGCCTCCATGACCACCATTTCTCTATGTGCTTGTCCATCCATCTCTAGGCCCTCAAAGTCCAGGGCCTTGGGCTTACTAACAATTCCTTGCAATTGTCATGGTCAACCACCTTGGCCTGGCTACTGGAAATGGAAGCCAGACTGCAATGGTTCAAAGTGAACAAGAGGTGAGAGAGAGATAGGACCTGAAAGTAACTCATGAAAAGCTTGATTTCAGCCCTGGCTGGTGTGGCTCAGGGGACTGAGCGCCCACCTGTGAACCAAAAAGGTCACCAGTTTGATTCCAGGGCACATTCCTGGGTCGTGGGCGAGATTCCCCAGTAGGGGGCGCACGAGAGGCAACCACACATTGATGATTCTCTCCCTCCCTTCCCCTCTGTCTAAAAATAAATCAATAAAATCTTTTTTAAAAGCTTGATTTCCTTAATTAAGAGAGAGAACTAGCTAGAAGAAAAGAGGAGTGTGAGGGAGTGGGTTGTGTTTCAGATTGCGTTGGAGTTGTTTTTGTTTTTTAGTTTCAAAAATCTTTTATTAGCATAAAAATGAGAACTGTAAATCGGCACCAAGTAATTCACTTAAATGCATATCACAGTACTGGGGTCATAAAGCTATTTTATCCCTCTTGCTGGTTTCCCCCTCCTGCCCACTTTCCTGGGTGTTGAAGAGGCTTGCTGAAAAGTCACAAACCCAGCGACCTGACGGGATGGCACTTGGTGAGCTGTTCTTCTTTATAAGACAGGCATGAGCGTGTTTACATACTAAGAGGAAAGCACCAGTGAAAAGGGAAAGATAGACAGGAGAGACTCTGATCACTGGAATTAAGTTAAACAGGAAGGGGGATGAAGTAGCAAAGGAGAAAGAATGGTAAAAAAAGAGGCTCATACAGATTTTTAAAAATCATACCAGTAAACTTTTAAAAATCAGATAATCATTTATTCAAAAATATTTATTCATTTAAATCAACAATAAAGGTATAGTTAAGTGATTATGGTAATGAGTCCATTTGATGGAATAACATTTATTTTAAATGATGTTTCTGGGGAATATGCAATAACATAATAATAGGTGGAAAAAAGTAGGACACAAAATTGAATACAGATCTGTTTAAAAAACAAATATTTATAAATAATCTATATATAAAAAGAGAACAAAAGGAGGCCCTGGCCAGGTAGCTCAGTTGGTTAAAACATCATCACAATACACCAAGGTTGTGGGTTTGATTCCAGGTCAGGGCACATACAAGAATCAACCAATGAGCCCTAGTTGCTGTGGCTCAGTGGACTGAGTGCTGGCCTGTGAACCAAAGGGTCATTGGTTCAATTCCCAGTCAGGGCACAGGCCTGGGCTGCGGGCCAGGTCCCCAGTAGGGGGCACGAAAGAGGCAACCATGTATTGATGTTTCTCTCCCTCTCTTTCTCCCTCCTTTCACCTCTCTCTAAAAATAAAGAAAATCTTTTTTTAAAAATTGGAAAAAAAATCAACCACTGAATGCATGAGTGCAACAACAAATTGATGTTTCTTTCTGTCTCTCTCAAAATCAATACATTTTAAAAAAGAAAAAAGAGATCAGAAGGAAATATCAAAATGTTGACAGTGGTTTACTTGGATGTAGAACCAAGGATAATACTCTTCTATTTTTTTTTTAAGATTTTATTTATTTATTTTTAGAGAGGGAAGGGAGGGGGAGAGGGAAAGAGAGAGGGAGGGAGAGAGAGAGAGAGAAACACCAATGTGCAGTTGCTGGGAGTTATGGCCTGCAACCCAGGCATGTACCCTGGCTGGGAATCGAACCTGGGACACTTTGGTTCCCAGCCTGCACTCAATCCACTGAGCTACGCCAGCCAGGGCCATACTCTTCTATTTTTAATTACCAAATATTTTAATGAGCATACATTTCTTAAAAAATAATGATTCAATTTTAGTCTTATACAAATATGGAAAAATAATTTTTAAAAATTTAGAAATTACTTTAGAAAAAAATACAGGAATGCTTTTACTTTTGAAGTACAAGAATAAAAGACGGCAGAATTTGATCATACTCAGAAGTTTTCCCATTGACCTGGTTAAGACAGTCTTATTTTTGCCTTTAGAGTTAGAATGGGCCGTAAGAGACCATTCAGTTTAACATTCCCGGGCACGAATCCTCTAGACAGGACCCAATAGTCAGCCACACATTGCCCAGACACTCCTGGGAAAAGTCAACACAGGGTGTAGAAAGAGCACAGATGAGAAGTATCTAGCCTAGACGCACTTCTCTCATAGCATTCTAGAATGCCTGTGTCCTTCTAAAATAAAGTACCCAGAGTCCCACATGTGAGCTGACCAATATGGACAGACTGGGACTATTACTTTCTCTCCTCTCTACTTCA